CTTCTGCAGAGACGAGGATCTTGATGAGGCGCTGGAGGTGGAAGGCGCGGCCTTGCAGGAGGGATTGGTTTGTTGTATTGCGCTCGAGCGCGGGGATGATGCCTGCTGAGATGTTTTCCATAGAGACCTGGTCGTCTTTTTCTTTCGGTGCGGCGTTTTTGTCTTTTGAGGAGCGGATGTTGCCGACGGAGGAATCGGTCGAGTTCCAGTATTGACTTGTGACGCCCCACCATGGTTCAGATATGCGTTGCCAGATGTACATGTCGGGGTTGTAGGCGTAGCCCTCGCCGTTGGACATGGCTACTGTTATTCGACCTGCTGAGTTGAGACGTGCGAAGACGATACCGGGAGACCGGGTGAGATGTGGTCCTTGGGCGTAAGCTGCGACGTCTAGGATGGGTGCTAGGGAGATGGGTGGATGGGGTGCAGACATCGTCTTCAGATTCCACACGTAGCACATACCGACTGCTGTTATGCACATTAGCCACCAGCCGCGGCAGTCCATGATTACCGGTTGAGCTTCGAGGACCATGGCGTTCAACGTCCGTCGGCCGGCTGGCGTCCATGCATATACTGATCCATCTTCGCATGCTGCTGCGAATAAGTTTGTGTTGCCAGTCACCAAGAGCACAGCCTTTGGTAAGAAGTCTTGCCAAAGTGACTGTCCCTTGCTGGTACATGTCAAGCGCGTAGGGTCGTGGTCTTGTGGCCGTCCTGTCCGCGATGGTCCGCTGGCGTTGCGCGCTTCTAAAACGACCGTGTCTGGTATTTCCGCTTTGCCTGTGTTGGCGTCGACGCCACTCTGCGGTGGCTCGCTGCCGTCCATAGTTCGCACGATAACACTCCTCACTTTCGGCACGGCTAACCGCACTTGGGCGAGGGCCATGGACGGGTTGACGATAGCCGGTCTTAGAACTTTTGGAGGCTCTGTCATTTCGTTGTTCTTAGCAGCTGCAGCAGCGGGAGGGACAAGACCATTTTCACTGTTTATCACGATTGCTGCACCTCCGGGCTTCACGGAACCAGCCAGTCTTTTCTCCACTTGCCGGTCCTCATCGCCTTCGATCTCGGCGAATTTCCGCTTGTTCCCGATCAGCATGGATGCAAGTCCGCCTCTCGGGAAACCATCGTAGGGCTTTGAAAGGTCTAGAATGTTGTGGGGATTGTCACTCCTGCCGCCTGACGTTGTCGTCGCAGAAAGGAGCTGTGTTTGGGGCAACGAGGACTCGCCAACACCAGACGAAGATGACATGAGCATAGGTGCTATACGCTTCTTGCCATCCTTGGTGACAGTCACTCTTTGCTTGAGTTTCTCAACCCTCACGTCTGGGGGTGGCTCAGCCGGGGCCTGTGGTGGTGCTGCGGCGCCCGATCCGTTGGTGAGAGTTGTCGAGGGAGTGACGCCGTTGGTGCCATTCGTGATAGTCGGTGGCTGAACGGCACCTCCATCGCCCATCAGTGCACCCATTCTGCCCTGAACACCCTTCAGCTCCCCACTCTTACTGCTCTCTTCCAGAAGTAGCGCGTCTGTGCCCTCGATAATTCCAACTCTTCTGCCGGCACCGAACTTAGCGAGTGTCTTTTCGTTTTCCGCAAATGTCGCTGGGTAGCCGAGTTCTCCGGGTTCGAAAACAAGAGTCATTATGCTGCCGTCCAAGCTCGTTGCGTATAGCGTCTCTCCGTTTGGTGACCATGCCAAGTCGGAGATGGATTTGCTCGCCAACTCTTGCGAGCACATGAACGGCCTGGGGAAGCTCGTATTCCACACACTCAGGCATTTGTCTTGTCCGGCGCAAGCGACAATAGTAACCGTCTGCTGGTTGATGGTTCCGTCTTTTTCTGGCCTTGGCTCATCCCGGTAGAACAGCCTTGGAGAGAATGAGGTTACTTCGACAGGCCCTTCGTGGCCGACCAGACTGATATCTCCATCCCACGTTCCACGCGCCAGAATAGCGACGGAGCTGACTGGTCCGTTTGTGGCGTTTGCAGCGGCAATATGTGCGCCGTCGGGTGACCACGAGCAGCGGCGGAAGTATGTGGTGAGCGGGGAGGTTTGGAAGGGTGCGGTTATGGTGTGGTCCAGGACGAAGTTGTTGACCTGGTCTTGCTGCGAGGCGTTCGGGGGCGGGGAGTTGAATCGGTAGACTTTGATGGTGCGGTCATCGCTAGCCGTAGCGAAGTATTTGTTGGCGGGGTCAAACGTTATGCCCTTGACGTGACTCTGGTGGTTTGATAGCGTCTTCAGCTTTTCGAACGAATGCCCAGACCAGACTACCACTTTCGAGTCCAACCCCACCGACACCAATATTGACGAGTCGAATGACCAGCCTAGATCTTGTACGTCGTTGTCGTGTCCTATGAGGCGACGAATGACGCGCCAATTCTCGACGGGCGGCGGTTCGTTGGATCCTGTAATGCTATCAGCCTACGTCCCTTGTACCTGCCCAACGTATACCCACCAAATGCTGTATGTGTTGGTGCATTCTTGTCGAGCGCATAGACACACACTATCTTGTCGTCTGCGCCAGACGCCAGGTATTTGCCGTTGGATGAGAAGCGGACCGCATGGATGGTGCCGGAGTGGTTGCTGACGGCCGCGAGCTGCTTCGGCTTCGTATACGAGGGGTCGTTTGAATTTAGAATGGCCTCGGTAGACCAGACACGTACATAGCCGTCTATAGATGTGTGTTAGTGTAATTCTGAGGTGCGTCGCATCGCGTGGGAATCGAGCGTGGGTTGACGAACCTCCGGCGGCCGTGGCCAGGCGCGATCCATCAGGGGAAACGTGGCAGCTGTATACTTCAAAGTCTTTCTGTTCGCCTAGTAGGAATGCATGTCAGCAAGATGCTAGCAGAAAAGGGCATGCATGCGCGGGTGCACCCACCGGGATGAGTTAACCACTGTGGTTTAATGAGATGCATGGTCGCGTGTGTGTCGCTAGCAGTTGACTCATGCTATTACGCGACCATGAAATGATTACTGGGAGTGCTGGGTGCGGTGGTGGAGGGTTGGTGGTTGAGGCGCACGTTGTGGTGCAGCGCGACAGTTGTCTGGTGTTGGCGACGCGATCTCGCGGTTGACGCTACTTGGCAGACGTTTGGGCAGGGGTTTAAGGTTTAGGTGCATGCGCCGATCGGGAAGTGGATGTTAAACGAGCAGCTCACGGTTGGAGGGAATCAAGCATCAAGTGTATTTAGAGTATGGCATGTGTTTGTGATAATACAGTGAACTTGGTGTTCCTTCACCTTGGTCTCTCTGATTCTCTGCGAGGCAGCCCTGGACAAGTCTCAAGTCCTACTTGCACTCTCCGCTCCACCATTGGTTGCCCCTTCACAAAGACACCTAAAAACAGTACTACACTAGCTAAATGCAGCTCTTCCCCGAGAGCTTGTTCATTTGCGGAGTCATTCGGACCCTTGTGGTGGATGGTCATGATATCCTGCTGCATGCGCATGCCCATACTCACCATTAAAACTCATTTGAAGTTGCCCCGGACTTATTGCGAAATTCCACTCTCGACTGTAGTCCAAGTTGGAGCTGAGATAGGCGAGGTTCAGGAGGAGATCGGTAGCAGCGTGAGCGGTTGGTGCAGATGTTGTGGGTTGTGTCGCTAGTTGTGTCGTTCATTTCGCCTTCTTCCTCTTCTTAAACACCACAGCCGGAGCAGCTGGCGCGTCCTCTTCTGTCTTGACAACAGTCTCAGCAGCCTTCGCCTCCGCTTCCTCGGCCGTGGGTATATCCTGAAGGGTGTTCGTGCCGCTGTCATCTTCAACTTCGGCTTTCACTCCATCCTCTTGGTCTTCTTTCTTCACTTCAGCCTGTGGCTTCTTTTTCCCAAGCAAACTCTCGATATCGTCGTCGCCGCCCTTGCTGCCTGGGAAACTCTTGTAGGTATGGCCCCAGCCCTTCCGTTTTGTGATCAGCTCACCAGCAGCTTCCCGTTCCTCCTCATCCTCGTCAAGTTGCCTCTTCCGTACGCCCTTGTTCAACGACGTCGCCTTGAACTCTCCATCTTCCGTCACTTCTCCCACGACTTCTTCCTTGACCGTCTTCCATTCACCTGCTATCGCCATATCGCCTCTTGCGGCCGCAGGAAGCGCCACGCCCATGGCTGCTAACTGCTCCCATTGTCGTTTCCTGTCATCTACTGTCGCCTTCTGTTGTGGTTTCTTCTCATATGTAGATTTGCCGCCTACGCCGGTTGCGACGGAAGGTGTGGATGCGGATGGTACGAGGCCATTTAGACGTGCGACCTCTGCTTGTGCGCGCGCCTGGTTGCGCTTTTCGTTCTCTTGTTCGCGATGGAGCCCCTTGAGACTGCGCTGTATGTTGCCTTGGTGGCGGCCGGTCGCTTCGTGTTGCGCGCGTTCGAACTTGGTGTCCTTCACAAACGTGGAGCAGAACTTGCACCAGTATTTTGGCTGTAGCTTAGTTAGTGTATGACGCGCTTATCAGGCCTAGTCTTACTTACTGTTGACTTCCAGTACTCCGCCATGGTCGTGTGTCGTGGAGTGACGTGCAACCAGCGACAGTCGGGGAAAGCTTACCTGGCGCACGGTGCACCTCGGCGGTCCGCAAGGCTAGAAAAGACGAGTTCGCATAGCGTGAACCACGGCTGCGGGTCTTTCACCGCTCTCCACCCCAAACCCTAATCGCTCTTCACATGTCTTCTAGCTTATTTCTTTCTTGGTCAAAGTTTTCGACTCGATTTTCCATATTTAGCAGGCCATGGCCCCGCCATCAGATCCTTGCACGTCGTTGCGATGACTAAGAAGAGTATAGATGTGCTTGAGGGACACCGGGTAGCAGCAGAAAGCAAGCCCTTATTATCATCACGCCCTTCCCACCTACTGACTGGTCGACTACACCAACATGGCTGAGCTAAAGGATGCCAGACGCCTTAGCGAAGCGCGTGAACACAATCTCTTGCCGCCTTAGCCGTCACTCTCTATCCTGTCTGATCGTGTAGACAGTGTCCCTCTGTAACACTTCGCACTTCCATGGAGCCTCAGATGGCTGTGTCACTGGCTTCAGCTGTCATACAACTTGTCGACTTTTCGAGGAAAGTGGTCCAAAAAGACAAGGTGGGCAAAGTATACAAATCCACCGGCACCACCCTAGGAGAGGCTACACTGCTCGATGACGCCATCGCTAATCTCGGCGACTTATCACAACAACTTGAGAAGGCACGACGCGTATACTGCAAGTCACACATATCCCCTGATCAGGAAATTGCAGATGCGCAACTGATAGCATTGGTGAAGGATGCTGGGGGAGTGGCGAAGATCTTACAGGCCACACTGGATCAAGCGAAGCGCGACAATGACGTGGATCAGCAGAAAGTACTTGCACAAGAACTACGCAGCGTTCTGAGCTTGTACTACAGTCAGAAGACGATATGTGATCTTGCGGATAAACTTGGCTCTATTCGCAAGCAAGTAGATGTCGCTCTGCTTGCCTCGCTCCGGTCAGTGAGATGTCACCAATGCGATCACCCATTGACCAGATCATAGACAGCATGCGGCTCAACAGCATTCAGTCCATTCGGAGAAAAGACGGCTTCCGGTGGACGGCAGTACAGGACCTGATATACTCCTGCTCCAGTCCATCGCGCATCACGATTGGAAGACTACGGAGACGGTTGGTATCTCGGCGTTTTCAGATACATTCGACACTTCCGTCGTAAGCAATGATATCGAACGCCATTTCGCCAGCTTGATGTTGGCGCGCTTGCATTTCTCTGGCATGCACGATCGGTACAAGGCGATTCCTATTGCGCACCCAGGAACCTCGCAATGGATATTCGATGCAAGTCTCGAACACCTCAACACTGATGACTTCGACTCCTTCCCTCGCTGGCTCACAGCAACAGGATGTAGCAATACATATTGGATCAGTGGCAAGCCAGGTACCGGGAAGAGTACGCTGATAAAATTCGTGTCTAGTCACCCTCGCACCGCCACTCACCTGAGCGCCTGGGCCAAAGGAAGAACACTTGTCAAAGGAACCTTTTTCTTTTCGAGTCTGGGTAATGACATGCAAAGATCGCGTATGGGGCTTCTACAAACCTTGCTTCACTCTGCGCTAAAAGGCGACACGGAGACGGTGATCCAGGTCTTTCATCATCGCTGGCAACAATTCCTTGCTTCTGGTGGAGGTAGACGACCTTTCACATGGCTTGAGCTGCGTCAGGCCTTCATAACAATGATCTCCGCGCCTATCACACCAAGATCATTCTTCATCGCGATCGATGGCCTGGACGAGTTTGATGGCAACCTGAGAGATGTTCTTCAATTGATCAAGGACTTGGCTAAATATCCATATGTCAAAGTTTGCGTTGCCAGTCGGTCTTCATCAGAGCTTCTGCGCGCATCTGCAGGCCAGCCTAATCTACGCCTTGAACGTTTGAACCGCCAGGATATCTGCAATCACGTCACGGCCTCACTGGCAAAATCGCAAGTATACGTTAATGTCAGCAAAACGGATCCCAGTCGCGCTACGAATCTGGTCAAAGGTATAGCCAAGAAGGCAGCCGGTGTCTTTCTCTGGGCACACATCGTGGTGCAATTATTACTTGATGATCTGTCACCTACAGCCCGCATGATCAGTCTTGTTGCTTGGCTCGAGACGATACCATCTGGACTAGAACAACTATTCACCAAACTTCTCGGACGTCTGAACACGGGACATCTGAAGCACGCGTCGGAAGTCCTCCGTCTGATGACGATAAAGCCACGGCCCCTTCTGCTCGAGCTATGGTTTGCAGACGGCAACAACGAGGACGCGGCATTGAGGGATGAAGCCCGACCGCTGTCAGACAATGAGATATCCGAGCGTCTCGAAATGATGAATCGCGGACTGGTTTCCCGATGCAGAGGATTCCTGGAGACAGATAGCCAGTATGGAAGTGCAAGGTCTGGATTGTCAAAGGGTAGGCTGGAGTTCCATCACAGATCCGGTCATAGCTAACCACCTATAGCGTCTCGTGTTACCTGGACACACCGCATTGCGAAAAACTTTGTTCGATCCCAACGAATATGGAACATCATACTCGATAACACCGGGCATGATGCTTTCGATCCTGAATGGCACTGGGCCAACGGTCAACTAGGTTTATTCAAGACTGTCGCCGGGACCACCAGTACCAAGAGCTCTCACTTCCTCTCGTGCGTCGATTATGCACTTCGACTAGAACAGCGGCTCAATATTTGCCCAGTCAAGTTTCTAGATGAAGTCGGGCGTACCGCAACGATTTATGCCACTGTATACGACGACATCGTGCCTCGGAAACTCAAAGGCACTATCAACAGCTTTCTGGATTTCGCTGTGCTGTTCAATCTCGTAAGCTACGTTCGTGGCAGAGGCCTAACGCTATCGAGAGAGGAGTTGTTACATGCTTCTCGCTTGCTAGGTGCACTGGACGCAAAGAAGTGGGAAGTGTTTGTAAAGCGATTTGAACACCCTGGGATCTGGAGTACTGAGTTTGAAGAAAGAAAAAAGGACATGCATCAGGTGATGGACAGCTTGCTTGATCGAGGAGGCGGTCAGTCAAGATGGCAAAGAGCAAGGAAGAGACTTTCTGGGCAGAAGAAGACATGAGTCGTTATGTGTCGCGTTCGGAACAGCTTCTCGAAAACGATGGGGCAGATCCTGATGGGGCGAATATGTTACATCATGACCATGGGCTGCTCCGAAGACACACTGACAATATATATATCAGTAAGAACTTTATCTTCCACATACGACCATAGGATCATGAAAATTAGGCTTCCCGTCCGCTCAGCCATATACAAGCATGATACCGGCGGATTAGTAGTTAGGTGGGTGACCACTAGCGAATCCCCGCTGTTGTATGTTTTTGACATTTTCTTTTGCCAGTTGGGCTATCTTTTTGCTACCCTGGCCATGAGTTGGGATGGTATCATCGCATCGCAGTGCATCCATACTGTACAAACTCCGCCCACCACAACCTTACAACACCTGCCACGGCATCAACATCTATCTTCCACCCACTCTACTCACTCCCTCTTCGGCGCACTCAAGTTTAAGTCCTCATACCCCGGCAACTCCCACCTCTTTTCCTTCCCCTCCGGCAGCCACCCCGCAAGCCACCCCAACACCTTATCCACCCTCATCGTCGAAATCGACCAAAGCACCCATCCCACAACCCAAATTCCCCATGTCGACTCCGGGAAGAACCTCCATTCCTCCACCAACGGCCCCAGTTTCTGACACTCCTCAATCGGCTGCTTCATCTCCTTCTGATACGCTTCCAGCGCCGCGTCGACATCACTGCCACACCGCGCCAGCTCGCCAGCGAGGACATACGCGCCAATGAGTGACAGTGTTGTGCCCATGCCCGTAAAAGCAGAGGGACAGTACCCCGCGTCCCCGAGCAGTACGACTCGGTCTTTATACAATTGCCCGCTGGGCATCTGGACCTGCCCGATCTCTGTAGCGTAGAAATCCTTCGCCCCTTCCAACCCCTTCAGAAACCGCGGACACTCCCACCCCGCATCACCATATTCCTCGCTCCAAACGGCCTTCTGCTCGGCCACTGGTTGCTTATACGTACCCCTCATGCGACTCGCCCGCTCCTCACGGTTGTTCAAGAGAAAGAGGTAGACTTGTGTGACGGGACGGTCGCCCGTGCGCGTCATGACCATGCGGTTCTGCGGACCGAAGTAGATACGCGCGAGACTGTTTTCTAAGGGCAGGCGCGGGACGTTGTAGTATGCAGCGTGGATGTTGAGGGACTTGAAGGACGCGTCGCTAGTTTCTTGACCAAAGGCGAGGCGCCGGGTTCGTGACGATTGGCCGTCTGCAGCGATGACGAGGTCGAATGTGGATGTTGAGCCCGTGGAGAAAGTCACTGCTGTTGTCTTTGTCGATGGATCTGGGGAGAGCGCAGTAACAGTCGTATCGAAGACATACTTCAAACTCCCACCGTAGCCTTGTATGTCCAGTGTTTCGCGCTCCTGCAGACTGATATCATACACCATCCTCACAAAATCCCCCCTCATAAACTCAAACTCGTTCGTCAGCGTCCTTCCCGGGTTCTCCCCCGCAGCCGTCACACCAAACTGCATCAAACTCGCTCCATTCCGATCCACAAATTCCAAGCCGCTTTCATGGACACAGTAGGGCCGGAGTGTTTCGAGGAGACCCAGTTTCTTCATGATGGGGATGCCGTGGGCTTTTAGGTCGATTTGCTGGCCGCCTGTGCGGAGGGAGGGGTAGCGTTCTAGGATTGTGATGGTGTGGGTGGGGTTGCTGCGTTGGAGTAGTAGGGCGAGGAGGGGGCCGCAGACGCCGGCGCCGGTGATGAGGATGTTTAGGGAGTGGGGTTGTGAGGTTGGCATTGCTGCGGTGGTAGGAGTAGAGAGTTGCTTTGATGGATTGGTAGTACTTGGACGCACGCACGGCGCAGTAGGACTAGCGGATGGGATTCGTAAGTAGAGGAGAGTAGGCAATGTCTTTGGAATGTGATCATATCGACTGAATGATAACCGGATCTATCCTTCCAGGCATGTACATCCTTATATTAACAGTGCTACAAAAAGCCGGCGCAGTACGACGCTCCTCCGAACGGCATTCTCGCACATTTAGGCGGAGACCGTGTTCTCCGAGCTCTTCTCCGAACGCTGTTAATGCGGACATAAAAGGCGATAACCGTTAGGGATCTAATGGCGGAGCAATTTGGACTGTTGCCTTGGCATCCTTGCTGACTCTGCTGCAGTCGGCGTCAGCGCGCATATGTGTCTGTACGCCGTATGTCGCTCAACGAAGAAGGATATGTGCCGTTTAGAGACTGTAGCCTAGATGATGTACCACAGTTTCGATTGTAACACTGTTGAAGATCACTGGCGTCGTTGAACAAGAGTAGTTGATAGTTGATAGGATGAACGTCGTGATGATGCAAACCTCAGGGTCTGCGGGCGGATCACCTGTCGGCGCCAAGCAAAAGTGAAGCTCGTCGCTTCGCATCACCAACACCGACCTCCACCAGCCAACGCGCATTCCATCCATACCACCGACACATAGGTCACCAGACCCTGTACATACCAACTTCCAGCCGGTTATCGCCGACGTCAGACTCTCGGAAAGTCAACAAGCCGCACACGGTCCACCAAATCTCGCAATGGCTATCCTAGGGACAGCCCTCAACGGCATCGGCGCGCTCTTCCTCACACATGCGTACGTGTACACGTAGCTCATATCTCTATATCCCCAAACAGAGGATCACATGAGCACCACAACACAGCCTCCACCGCCAACTAACCCCACCAGCGTCTACTCAACCCACGAACACACCGCAACCTTCGCATCCACGCCCCTCCCCCTCGACATCTCGCTCGAACTCCTCACCTCCATCCTCATCCTCTCCCTCGGCATCGTGATATCGTTTGCACCACTAAAGCCAATACAATACGCGCAATGGGCGGGCCAGATCTCGCGGGAAGGACGACACGGCGAGGGCTACTACACAAAAGAGGGTGAGGAGGTTTTGAGTGAGGGTGATCCGTATGCGTTTTTGGGTCTGGATGGTGGGATTGGTGGGAAGGGGGAGGGGAGGAAGGGGTTTTGGGATGTAAAGGGGAAGAGGAAGGAGTATGAGGAGTGGGTTAGGCAGGGTGGGAAACAGTAGGTGGTTGAGGACAGCGGGGGAGGTTTGGGTTGAAGAGATCTAGCGGACGCGCGTGATGGACTGGCAACGCGCACCGGTGGCGTGCTTGGGCATACATATCGTCACGAAGCGTCTCATACCCAGTACGAAAGACAACTGTATGTCGACCACCGTTATGCCTATCGTACATCGCCCGAATGCCCAATCTCGATGCCCCATACCCTGTGTCTCGACTATCCCAAAACCCCCAAACGCCATGCTTAAACGAGCAAAACCAGCAATCCCAATCAATCTGTTCCCATAACTCTTTTCTTCTCCAATCCTTTCCTCACGCCTCGCTCGTCATCTTCTCAACCTGATTCGCTCCACAACCATTCACCCTACAGGCCCAGCACTCCTTCCCCTCCATCTCCTCGCCAATAGCCGCAACATCCGCACTCTTCCTCCTCGGCCCCTCCGCATCCCCATTAACATCAACACCACTAACCCACCAGATCCCCGCCGCAATAACCTTGGCCACAACCTCCACCTCCGCCTCATCCCTGGGCGCATAAACCAGCATAAACTCCCTAGGAACAAACTTCCTACACCAACCACCCCTCGCCAGCGGATGTCTCTCACCCCACCCCATCTCAATCAACAGATTCGCATCCGCAGGATGCAACGTCATATGCATTGACCCATCACTCGGATGCGCATGACAAATCTCGCCTCCACACGTCCTCGTAATCGGCACACTGGTAAACAACCCCGAACTATGCTTCTCAAAGCAACTCGTACGTTCCAACAACCTATTCCCGGGAATCCGGGCAAGACCTTTAATCTTGGCTACCAAGCACGCATAAACCGCCTGCCCACTCTTCTGCGTCTGCTGCCTCTGCGGCGCGATACCGCGGATGAGCGGCTTGGTTCCTTTGCGAGTGGGTAGCGAGGAGGCGGTGAAGTAGCCTTTTTGGGGGCGGAAGTGTGGGGGGATGGCGATGGGGCGGAGGGGGTCGCGCAGGCAGATTAGGGAGAGGAGCTTGATTTTTAGGTAGCCGAGGGGGGTTGCTGGGGTGCCTCCTGGGCCGAGGGAGAGGAAGGCGCGGTAGTCTTTGTGGATGTAGAGGGCTGTTAGGGTGGGGAGAAGGAGGGCGAGCGTTGCGATGAGCATGTGCATGTGGGTTTCTGTGAACATGCTTGGGTGAGGTGGTGGTATGGTTGGTTCGTAGGATGGGTGTAGGGTTGTGGTGGTGAGGTTGTGTGGGTCGACCATGTTGGGTGCCCAGGTGATGTTTTTGGATGTTCGTCCTGGAGGTAATTGAAGACGTGGAAATTGAACAAAGAAACCAGGAACAAGTTTGCTGACAGTCCTCTTATGCCTTCCTTCCTTCTCAACAAGACAAGAGAATTACAGAACCCGGGAAAGCACAATAGCTCCGTGGCCCCAGTAAAGAAAGGAAGATCAGCCCCACACGTGCACTGCAGGAAGGAAGGTCGGTGAGTACCACGCGAGACTCAGGGTCCGCGGGACCTAAGAGGGATGACGTTGAATTGATACAACAAACAAAGCTACCACTCAGATACCCAAACGAAAGCCTCGATGCAGTAGGAATCCAGAAGCAGAAGCCTAAAAGCCCCAAGTACCAGCTTACCTCCCCACCACGAGCATACACACACCCCTTCTTATAATCCCTTAAGAAACGCCAGCAAACCAACGCAGCAACCATAGCGACCGACCGACCGACCGACGTCAACCCCGTGGTCCCCAAAACCACAATCCACGTGCCTAGCCCCGCATCCGGTTAGCACGGCCCTCACCTGCATGTTTGTGGGGTTAGCGGCCGGCCGCGCTAGCAAGCCTATTGGCCCACATCACGGTGCCTGTGACGTTTGACCTAAATCAACAATGTTGGCGTTCGCTTCCCATTCTCTCTGTTTATCCACTCGCTGCAATTACCTTCGTCATTCTGTCGTGGGTGCGTTTATGAGAAGATGGTCTGGGCGCTTGAAGGTTTGCATCGCCGATGTGCGGGAGCAAGGGTGAGGGATTTGGGGGTTGTACGAAGGGAGCGGGCATGATGCTGGTGAGGGGGATGCTGAGATCAGCTGTGCTCACGTGGTCTTGTGCACGGTTATCTTTTCAGAAGAGGGGTTTTTGGGATGCTGACTGCTCGTGTTCAGCCTCTTTCTTACGTATGCCGCTGTCTTGGAGTATATGCTCGTTCGCTCTTCGCGGCATGAATTGGCGAGGTACGCTGGCACGCTTTGACCATCAGCTAGGTGTTCTGATCACCAACGGACGAACCGGAAGCTTGCCAGAAGGTCATCAGGCGCAGGACTAGCTTCGTGGTATCAATATCCGCTAGTTCACGATAGCTGGTGTCGGCGTTGTTCGATAAATACCTTGCAGCGTGCAGCATGCAGTGTGATCGGAGGAGCGGTGATGCGTGGCGCGCTGTGAGCTCTTTGCATTATCGCCGAGCTCGGAACTTGGGTTCGAGAACATGGCTGTCAGTACACGGTTGTTCGTTTTTTAGATTGGGATACCAGGTTTGTTAACGGGTATGCGTAATTGCAGCTATATATTCCACACTTGGGAAAGCAACTCGGTCACCTCTCGATTGCATTGACGCTCATAGCGCATTGGTATAAGCGGTAAAAGAGCGAAACGAGAGAAGAGAAGAGTAATTCACTATCAAGACTTTCGAGATGGTAGGGCCGCTTGCTGTTTGCGAAGACAGATAGGCGATGGACACGTACCACACAACAACGAATGCTCTACAGATTCCTGCGCGTTCCAGCGCATCGCGGCGCAATCGTGGATCAGTCTTCCCAGGTAATCCGCACCTCAAGAAGCTTGTAATCTGTGGGGAATCCAAGTTCAGTCAGATCATTACCCACGTGTTCCTGCCGTCCCGGTGGCAAACGACAATTCCACGACCCCTTCTCAGCTCGTCTTTTTCCAGTAATATTGACGAACACCGCCGATTCCATGTTGGCCTCTCTCTGTTTCTCGTCTGGCATGAAGATCTCAAGCTCGGCGGAGACCACTCTTTCGGCTTGGCGCGCGTCCATGTTCTTCAGGACCGACACTGCAGATTTTATCTCATGCATCATGTCAGACGTGAGGAAAAAACTCCTGTAGCCCCCTGGGCAGAAATTCATTATGAATGAAGGAAATTCTTTCTGGACTTGGACCAATTGAAGAAGGTCGACCTTCCGCTCTTCACCGGTTCCGAATTTGCAGAGGCGTATGATGATGTAACGGTTGATCGTTCGTAGACTTTCGTATGGACGCTTGATGAAGAAGACGTGCAGGTAATTGTTCAGTTGTCGGAAAGGGACGACGGGACTGTATAGCAGCAGCCTATTGGACGGAGACAGGTACATAGGCGCGAACTCGTCGTGGACTTGCTCATGAGAATTGACAAGGTTTATGGCGTCAGCACATTTTGGTTTTAGATGGAGGAATTCGGTGTAGATGGCGTTGCGTAGCTCTATATTCAGGACCTGAAATCAGCCCTGGGCAGGTAAATCGTGGGATTTGGAGACCTCTTACCTCCGGGTAGGTCAAGGAAATTCGCTCTGTGGCGGTAGTGTGCGCTGCTTCAAATTTCAGCATTCATCGACTGGCACTGCAGTGTCACACGGCTCTTTTGACACACCTGAGTGCCATGCTGTTGTCGCAACGACGAACGGAGTGCGTCTTCGACTCAAACTGGAGCCAGTTTTTGACTCAGGCCAGACTATTGAGACGAAGGCGCATTCGGCCTTCCAAAGGAGACTTGGCTTTGATGTTCGGTGGTTCGATGTCGTCAAAGAGGTGTCGTAAACAAGACAGACTCACACCTAAGTCCAAGATGCGGCCTCCCGCCAAGACCACGCTAAGCCTAAGGAATCGACCACCGGGCCGGCGTTAAGCTGCAGGCTGATTTCTCACATTCTCAAGCTCATCACATAAACCTGAACAGTCATTACTCGTACATTGCTCTCAAATCTTCCATGCACTATTCCTCCTGTACCTCCCTTCCACGAGAGTGAGCTCCTATTCCTCTTCCTCAGAGTCTGCTTCCTCAGGCTGTACCTCCTCAGACCGTACCTGCTCGGATCGTGCGTCCTCCGGTTCTTCCTGATCTGATTCTTCGTCTTCGGTTTCATCATCTTCGTCAGATACGTCGGAGCGGTCGCTGCGACCGATGCGGATGGGCCAATAAGAGCGGGCAGAACGGTTCAGGTCCCACCCAAAGTTGAGTAAAGGATATTGACGCATAAATGAGACGACTGCAAGCATATCGAGTGTCCATGAGCTCTGGTGCCAGCACATCTCGTTCCAATTGAGCTCTACACGAAAGCTGCAAGTGAAGTCCCTTGGTCTCTGGCTAGCGATAGGCTGGAAGGTGTGGCGTAGGAAGGTTATGAGGCGGTCAAAAGGCACCGTGGCATTGCCCTGGCTCAGGTATAGTGACCCAAATTCGGAGCGGATCTGCCGACTGACTTGGAGGAACTGGATGTTCTCGTCAAGAGATGGGTCGAGGTCGATGAAGTACTTGTAGACGGCGTTGCGCAGTTCTATAATGTGACGGGTTAGTTGGTCGTACTTGGATAAACTAGCCCACGGACCGCATACCTCCAGATAACCTGTCAAGGAATGGCGCTCTACCGCTGTGGTCCCTGCCGCCATCATCGTCAGTTTGTTCTTTCATGAAGCAGGATGTTCAACTGCAGCATACTTGGTTGTCATCATCGTGCTGTGCAGTGGTAGCTTGAATCCTCTGCCGGTGAGTAGTGGTGGACAGCTTTGTAGGTGGACTAGAAAGCTCTAGGAGCAAACAACATTGTTGGACGACAGGTCGTTTTGTCTCAGCGTCCGCCAAGATCTGCTGTGCAACGCAGACCGCGCTAGACACAAACTACCAGACAGGCAGCTTCTTGAACTCATAATACTGCCTCAGTTCTCGCACCTTCAGGTAAATGACATGCAATGGGTTATTACTCGTGGAATATGCTGGATCTCTAAGTTCTCTCAATGCATTGTATTTTTAAACTGCTGTCCCACCCCTGTCCCACGCATCTTCCCTTACTCCCGAGACATCGTGTGCGCTTCGGTGTACGGCTGCCAGTCCAAATTCAATCGTATACCTCCGCACTTGTACTTACGCCCTCCAATTTTGAGATGGATATCGTCGGTATCTTGTTCCGTACAGCCATGCTTCAGTATGATGTGAATATCTCCGTCCACGTACGGTACCGCACCAATATGAAGCCATACGGAAGATACCTTCTCAAACTCACGATCCTCCATATCCTTTAGAAGAGACACTTGAGTAGCGAAACCTAAATCGTTGTCAGGCTGGGAGTGGCCGGGCGGGACCAAGTTCCATCTGATGTTGAGCAGAGGATACTTTCGCATAGTCGAGATGACGTCCACCAGGTTGAACACCCAGTTTGTGGGGTCGTGATTCCCGCTGCCGAGCTCCACGCGAATCTTACAAGCAACGTCGTCAAGCACTAAGGTTCTAGAAGGGAGGATGAAGGCGCGTAGGAAGCTTGCGACGTCGTCGAAGTAAACTGCGGCATTGCCCTGACTGAAGTACAGCGATCTGAACTCGGCGCGGATTTGCCGGTTGACCCACAGTAGGTTAATGGCGTTGGTGTCACACGCGCATGTGTTGAGATCGATGAAGTGCTCGTAGATCGCGTTGCGTAGCTCTGTCTGAAGTGTCAGCTTGCGCCATCTAAACAAGCAGGATGGTGACACTTACCTCCAGGCAAGTCAAGGAACGACTTGCCACCGCGGTGATGTTGTCTGTCGCTTCGTTAATTAGTGTGGGCTCATGCAGAATGGTGTTCGGGCACGACTTACTTGGCTGTCATCGCGGCAGTATGGGATAGTAGCTCGGTTTGTGGGAACGTCTTGATAGAGCAAGTGTTTCCGAGAAATATTTGGTGTGTGTCGTAAGCAAAGTGAGCAACTTGACAAAGACGGCAGGGCGTAGATTTGCGCCTGCCAAGACAGCGCTAAGAAGATCAAGTGAGAGAAAAGATGTGGGTTCTTGATGGGAGTGCGCACCCGAGTGAAGACTGTTGATTGGCTTTGCCTTCACCTGGTACCACAAATTGTACGTTGGTGGTTATCACAGTTGATAAATATGGTCGAGATCACTGCGTTTATTCTAGGCTAAGCTGGCGCCCACGTTATCGCATTTGCACAAAAGAATAGCAGTGACGACGAGAAAAATTCGTTCCATATTCCAGAACTGCTGATTTAAGTGTTTACATCTTGACAAGCAGACCAAACTAGCGTCATAGACTCTTACTGCTGCCGGATCCCCATATCTTCAACTTCATCGGAAGAATCGAGCTCGTCGTTATCCAAATCTGCTCATACATCTGCGAACGAACCCTCTCAAAATACAATCAAGTCTCCTAAGTCTGGAAGGACCTGATATTCGCTCTCTGAGGCTTCGTGACCGTTAACTGGATCGTCTTCCTCGCCATCTGAACTATCCTCATCACTGTCCCCACTGTTCTCCAACGCAAGCTCTATATCGATGCCTCCGGAATTGGTATCAAACTCATCAAAAAAATCTTCTGTCACGCCCATCTTCGACTTGATCGAAAGGCTAGCGTCTAGGGCGAGGCCAGTCACGACCCGAAATGGCTGGAAGCTGTGTGATTCTTTAGGCGATTCGGACAGAGTGAGCCTGATGGAAGACAACTTGCTGAAATGTCGGGCACTCATATATCTCAGGTTGGTAACGGCGTAGGCGATGTCTGTGTCATCGAACGACACGGCGGAGTAGCGACCCATGCCCGCGCCCATGTCCCAGACCACTCTGATCAAAGGGTATTTGCGCATAACCGACACGACCTTGAGCAGATCCAGTGACCAGCATGGAGAAGCATCAAAATCAATGCTTTTGGGCGTTGGATTTCCGAGTCCTACTTTGAACTTGTAGATTACGGTCTTGGGAGCCGCGTCGGGGTACCGAATGAAGAAGAAGTGTAAGAAGAATGGAACATGCTCGAATGGAACCCCGGTTGTGCCTTGATATAAACGACTCAAATACAGCGTCTTGAACTCAGCGTGGACTTGCTGATTGACGCAGGCTAGGTTGGCTGCATCGCTGGTCGATGGGCTGAGATCGATGAAGTGGTGGTAGAAGGTATTGCGTAGTTCTGTTCTTGTGTTAGTCAACATATGGAGAGAAGGTACAGTAATTTATTTTACCTCCAGGTGCGTCGAGGAAGCTCTTTCTGCCGCAAGGCCTGCCGACGCTGTACCTAGATGGCCGTCAGTACATGCTCATCAAGAAAGGTTCTTTGCACTACTTACTGGCTTGTCATTTTGATGTCGCGCGACGATAGCACGGGCTAGACTCAATAGATCGGGTGGTTGTTGAGGATGGATCGAGAGTAGGTAGGAAGATCTGTTGTCTGCGAAAGAGCGTTTGTTTGCACCGCCGCCAAGACTGCACCGACAATCTCACGGTGAGCGAAGAAAAGTGTGAACCCTGCATTGGAAACAAGAGCTGGAAAACAGGATGACTGCGTCGATGACACGGAGCATACTCTAAGCTATTTCCTCGTACTGTCAAAGCTGATTAAGCTGGTTAATTTCAATCATGGCGTGTAGACTTCTTATGAAGATATGTTTCCACCATCTCAGTACGCCCCGGATTATCTTCTCATACCCCAGGCTCAACTCAGTAACCACCTTCTTCCCTAGCGACTACTTTCTAAAGCGCCTTCGCTGCTGTCTGGAACTTCTTAATCGCCATCCTCGTTATCATCTCCATCATCTGAACTCTCTTCCTCACTATCTGAGCCATCCTCGTCGTCACCCGAGGTTTCTGCAGTCTCTTCTTCACCGCTTGAATCATACTCCCAACCAACACGTACATTAATAACCCCGTATTTGGGGCTGAATCCGAGCCTGAAAGAATCTAGTTCCGGAGCGGCAGCCGTTATTGTGACCCAAAAGAAAGCGCTGAAGCGTGGGAGAAAGCAATTCGGGGTGATGGTGGGAAATAAGCATACTTCGTACTCGACTGATATTATACTTGCGAGCTTTCGAGTGTCCATGCTTTCCAATATGGAAATGATCGCGGTGATATCTTTGAACCATGAGATTTTGAGTAGAGAGTGTCGATGCATGATCGTGACCAGTTTAAGCAGGCCGATCAACCAGTTTTGCGATTCCAACCAGTCGAAGGACAAGTTGGTGGTGGAAGAAACGACTTGCGGTTCCGAATCCAAGTGATAAGGGAAGAAAACGCGTAGGAACCTGTCGACAAGCTCCGTAGGGATTGCCACGTTTCCGGAGGCAAGACAGAGCGAACCAAACTCAGCGCGAATCTGCTGGCTGGAACGCGCCAGTGCGGTAGCTTCGCCGACTGTAGGATTGAGATCGATGAAGTGATTGTAGACGGCATTGCGGAGCTCTGTATTCTGGTGTTAGTTCGCCATGTTCAACGGACGCCAGTGCTATATTTACCTCCGGAAAGGTTCAGAAATGACTTCCCGCCACCGTTGTCTCTGCTGTTTCGACTGTTAGCACGCACTCACTGAGAATGCTGGCTGGGTAACGTACTTGACTGCCATAGCGGTGTTGCGCAGCAGGGGCTTGTTCGTCTCGGAGTGTTGCCCCATAGACGGAACGACTGTGTAGGAGGGTCCGGTGAGAACTGTAAAGAAGTAATGATGTTGTTGACGAAGAGGCGTTTGTCAGTGACCCGCCAAGACCGCGCTAAACCAAAGAGGGATAGTGAAAGTGAAGGCAAGAGCTAACCTTCCCTCTTGTCTTCTCTGTCTTTCGCGCTCGAGCCCAAGGGGTCTTTTCGCGGAGGGTACTTTGATTGTGTACATTGGGGCGGAGATATTCGGTAACGGTGGTTACCCTCCCTCTTGTCATCCTCCGTCTCCATTTATGGAAGCTGTTGCTACTATAGCGTATAACAAGTTACCACCTTAACGAATAGCTCGAATGAAGATCAGATCGCAGTCTGAGTCAAGGGCGGACTTTATTCAATCATTTCATCCGCATTACATGCACAATATCTGGTCTCTGCTCTCGAGACCATCTTTCCCGTTGTCTGAGACTTGTTCACCACTATCTGAACCGTCTTCCTCATTACTGGAACAACCCTCCTCAGGGTACGACTCCCAGTCTGACCAGCCCCGAAAGCTGCCCTCACATCTAATCTCTACTTCAATACCTCTGCATTGGGTAGGGTATAACAACGACTTGATGCTATTGACATCTTGCTTAGTCACACCTCTCTTCAACATAAAAGGCAGATCAGCCTCTACTTCGGTCCTGCGGAACTGGCTGGGTTCGATGGAGTTGTTCAAGTAGAGCATGACGGAACCCAATTTCCCGAATAATTGGACGTCCAGATCCTTCAGGGCTGACACGGCGTACACGACCCCTGAATCGTCGAACGTCGCTTTCTTAAAATTGTCGACCAGATTCCACGCAATGCTGATCAACGGGTAGTGACGCATGATCGAGACAACTTCCAGCAAATCGAGCGACCAGTCAGCCTTCAGACCTCCAGGGTCGTGTTGAGCAGTACCAAGGCTGGCCTCAAACTTGTATGTAACGTCCTTCAGCGCCGAGTTGAGATATTGACCGAAGAACAAGTCGAGGAAGTAGTGGACGTTATCGAACAAAAGCCGGCGTCCGCCCTGGTACACCTTGTGCAGATATAAGGTCATAAACTCTGCGCGTATCTGTTGGTGCACCGAGGCCAGATCGGAAGCTTTGCCGTCGGACCATTTGGATATATTGCGGCGTCGGATCGGTTTGCAGCGATTGCAGCAAGGTCGTGGTTGCGACTGGTGATCAAGATCGTCGATGAAGTGCTGATACACAGTATTACGCAATTCTGTCAGGTGTTAATCAGCTTCTGAAAGCAGTGTAGAACGTAGGATGAATTTGGTACCTCCAGGTAAATCGAGGAAGCTCGTTCCGCGGCGGCGGTTGCTAGCGCTGCCAGCGTTAGTACATGCGCATCAAGAGAAGGTCATGTGCAGGGCTTACTGTGTTGTCATCGTGATTTCGCGCGACTGCCGCACGTTGCTTGGGCGAGGGTTGATAGTTCAGCCTTTGGTGGAGGTTTAGTCGAGCGTTAGTCCACATATTGATGTGTGCGGAGATGCGTTTGCTTGTACCTCCGCCAAGACCGCGCTAGGAGGTCGAGCGAAAGTGAACGGAGCACAAGAGCTGGGAGATGATAGGACGCGAAGGAGCAGAGCAACAATACCGCGAATTTCATTGCACATGTGTAAGAATACGATAGAGATATCTCTTACTAACATCAATACGCACCCTCTCTCTTCTCATACTCCATCCCCATAACAGTCCCCACCTTCTTCATCCCACTCCAAATCTCCGCATCAACCTCCAACTCCAAGCCCTCAACCTTTGTCGCCCCACCATCAAGGCCCCAAAGCGAGACACCCAAGTAATTCGTTCCGTTGTAGTTCAGAATACCTTCTGTAACAGGGAACTTAACCTGCGGCCCAACATTGCTAACGTATTTACCATACTGCCAGCCATTAACGTAAAGCTGGACGCGGTATGCAGGAACACTCGAGCCGCTGCTGCTGCTGTTACCAGAAGAGGTGCCGTTCGTGAAGGTAAAGCTGAGCGGGATATCGTAACCAGATGGCATGTTGAGATCGAATTCCGTGGCGAAGAAACCGATTCCAGGAGCGGAGATACCGTCGGCGACGGGACCGGCGGAAGCAGTCCATTTAGCGTCGGTGGCGGAGAGAGCACCGGGGAGGTGCAGACCCTGGCGCTCGACGTAGAGACCGCCTTCGTTGAGGGGACCGCGCGAGATGTCGCGGTAATCTTCTCCACCCAGGTTACCGGTGAGCTTCCAGCTGATGTCGGAGGCGTCGTGGCCGGATAGCTTGTAGTCTAGGATACCGCGCGGGTTCTTCATTGTCTCGGTGCCGATGGTCCAGTTTTCGTCGAGACCCTGGTTGTCGACTACGACCGTGATGGTGTACTTCTTTCCCTTGGTTAAGTTGGGCATGGTGAAAATGGCACTTCCGTTCAGGGCTGCGTCGTATCCGCGCCATGAACCAAGGAATTGGTCGCCGATCCAGGCCGATGAGCCGAACGCTGAGCCACCTTGGGTGGTAAGGTTAAAGGTTGTTTCGTTTCCAGATGCAGTGAAGGTACCGCGGAACAGTAGTGTGCCGGTATGGTAGCCGTAGTCGGAGCTGTACAGCGATACTGGGGTATCAAGAGGACGCAGAGAGTTGTATGTCTTCTTCAGATCTGCCGCAGTCCACTCGCTGTCATCGTATCCGGGTTGGATCTCAGGAAGCGAGTCGACGTACTTCCACTCGAGTTCGCTGAGTTTAGGAAGGCTAACATCGGGCTTGGCGAATTCGATGTCGGCGCACAAGGTTCCCTGCTCGGAAGTGGTGAAGTCGACATCCTGGCCGTTGAAAGTCATCTTGGACACATCAGATGACGCGCCACCAAGAATCTCGACAGTGGTTGTAGCATTGATATCACCAGTGAGGGCGAGGGTATTGCCAGTGACGTTGGCAGTGCGCATCAGGTAGCCTGCCTTGAGGATAACAGGGTTAGACGAGTCGTGGGGTGCCTGGTCGACGGCCCAGTAGTTGAAGGCTTCGACGCGGTCGACCATGTAGACGTAGATGGGGCTGTCAGCTCCAACCTTTGCCACCTTTCTGCCTCCATCAGCCTTGAAGCCCAAGACTGTGACTCCGCTAGTAGTCATGCTCTTGACATCGCCTTCGACGACTTCCAGTCCAGTAGTAGCAAGGGCCAACTCATGAGTCTCTCCAGGGCCACCATATACAACCAAGACAGTCTTGTCTTCATACTTGTGCCAAGTGAAGACTTCGGCAGTAGAGTAGACAAGGGTGGTGCCGCCAATATCGTAGTCGCTGACGTGGATCTTGGAATCGCGGCCGTTCAGCGTCAGCGAAGTGCCGTTCATTTGGGGTACAGTAATGTTGCCCAATGTCGACGTTGCAACGTTGAGCTTGTAAGTTGTGGAATCTAGCGAGTTGTACTTGGAATGCCTGACGAAGTAGAATGTCGTCTTCTCGTTGGTGGCGGGAGTAACGCCAAGATCACTGCTGGTAGTCCACTTGGAAGTCGAAGCATTGCCGCGTGCAGCGGTGAGATACGCAGGGCTGACTTTGAAGAAGTTTGCCTGGAGCTTAAGCTCGGAGTACTTCGCGCGGTCGACCTGACGGTCCTCCTTGATCGGTGCAGCGTAGTCGTAGCTAGTGTAACCACCGGGATGACCAAGATTACCCCAGTTGGTTCCACCGTAAGTCATGTACAAGTTCAGAATCGTGACGCCAAAGCTGTAAAGTTGCTTGTAGAAGACACGGTTGAACTCTGCGCCAACTAGAATGCCGCACTTGTCGAAACCTGGTCCACCCCAAGGGTCGAAGCTGCCAGACTGGAACTCAACAATGGAGTAAGGCGTGGTAGGACTTTGCTGCTCGTGAAGCTGATGCCAATTTGTTGGAAGATTGCCATCTGGCCATGTGGTAGGGTTGGCGCAGTCGAATCCAAGAGGGTAGCCGTCATGACCGTAAATGTCAACAGCTGCAGGTTGACCGGGTGCGTTGTTGCCCTTAGCAGAGGCATCGTTGCTGATCAAAGGCACAATAATACCGGCGTCGCGAATCTGATCTTCGACGTATTGCATGTAGACAGGATCCGGGAAAGGCTTGATAGCCGAAGTGGCTTGTGTGTACTCATTCTCGGGCTGAACGAGAATGATGGGTCCGCCATTGGTGATTTGCGCAGGCGCAATTGTCGCCAACACATTCTTCATGTAGCTATTCTGATATTAGTAAGACGTCGCCTACATCTAATGGAGGTACGTACTTGTCGGTCGCCTCCAGGAAGTCAGGCGCACGCGTTCTCAGCGTGCCATTAACTCTCTGAATCCATCCGGGGAAGCCTCCACCAGATACTTCCGCGTTGATGTAAGGACCGGGTCTCGCGATAAGATAGATGCCAGCTTCCTGTGCAGCATCGAAGAAAGGCTTCAGGTCAAAGACACCCTCTTCGCGGTAAACACCGGGTTTGCCCTCAAGCAATGCCCAGTCTACGTAGAAGGATACACCGTTGTAACCAAGAGCCTTGATCTTCTGGAAGACATCGGAGTAGAGATCAGGCACCGGTAATCTGTACGGGTGGACCTCGCCAGAGTACAAGAAGATGCGTTCGCCATGTACGAAGAGTGAATCTTCATCCCATGTGACCTGCAATGTCGGTTAACCATCATCCTTCCAGGATATCTAGCAACTCCTCAACTTACAATATCTTGCAAAGCCTCTCTCTTATACGGCTTAATCCACTGCTGAGGCGAATACCCCACAGCCCTCGCCGCAGTCTCAACCGCAAAACATCCCAGCGCAACCGCGCCTGCAAGCTTTGAGAAGCTCTTCATACTGACCAAAATACGAAACCAAAGGTCAATTTGCTTGTGGCCCGGTCAGATTCCGCGGGGATGGCACGAAATATAAAGCTTCCGGAGCTTCAGACGGTATGCATGTAGCCGAACCGGGATCTTTCCTCGTTCCTGTCAGGTAATGACAGCATCGTTTCCAAGCCGCTCGTGCCATTGCGATCCGAACGCACATACCTCTTTTCCCCAGCGACTTTCCCCAGTTTACCTCCATGTTGAGCATGCTAAGACCGCGTGTTGAACCGGATGAGTAGCCGTAGCGATACTAGCATGGTCTAGGGTACGGCGAAGCGACTCAAACGCAAGTAACGATTCCACCAATATCGCAGCTTGGATGCTTGTTAGTGGAGTCGATGCCCGCATCTCGGTTGAGGCAAGCGGGGAAACATGTCCGATGTGCGCCATGGCCGTTGCCCAGGCGGTGCAGAAGGGCGGCGATCAGTGGGGTTAGCGTGAGGGTTAATGCTTGGTCGTATAGTTGTGGATGCTTGCGGAAGCTTGGGTTGAGGCCTTTCCGCCCTGGATTGGGAAAGGCATCCGCGGGGTGATGACGACGGGCATCGGCGAATTGGCTCGGAGGTCTTTTCTTAAGGATAATTGCGGATGGAAGGACTGGGGTGAGATGCGGTGGCATGGGTGATGAGTGATGGGTCGGAACCTCGCGGTGATGGAATGTGGGGGAGAGTTACCGAGGTACATCAATTTGGTACTGACGTAACAAGGCCTTGATCATCGAGAAAAGCAAGTGCGCAACCCTAGTGCGCGCATGCAGCAGAAGTGTAGGCCAAGAGCGCTACCAATCCATTGCCACATATCCACAAACATGCTATACGATAACGTGCATCTACATCTGCATCTACATGTGCATAAAGACCGATCGATCCGCCCACGACTCTCCCGTCGCATGCCAACACAAAACCATCGCATAACAAGTACCCGCCTATGAAGAAACAAACTCCGCTACATAACATCCTGTCGCCCTTAGGAATCTAAATGGCACAACCGATGCAGCCAGGGAAAACAACCATCGCAACATGCGCCGAAGGAAGGAGTGAAAGAATGTGGATGACAAGAAGCCAAACAGATATGCTAGAAAATGAGAATGACGAAGGATAGTCGTCGCGACATTGCTCACGCGCCAAACGCAGCTTCGCACCAAACACAGTGAACAACATAGACACGCCCCGAATCCCACAGAACTACTGCGGCGGATACGGATACCCAGACTGATAATACCCCGAGTTATCCGGGATAGTCGGAAAGCCATATTGCCCCCAATTGTTGAAGTCCTGAGCACCATCACCAATCATGACATCGCCAGCCCAGCCGTTGGGGAAAGTAGCAGCGCCGCAAATCTCCATGTTGACCTTTTGCTCCTGTAGCTCCTGAGGTCGTGCTTGTGGCCATGCTTGATAGACACCGTGTATTGGGACAGATGCGGGGGCTGGCACAGGGGATTGGTGGGGGTCAGACTGCTGGAAGGGACTTCTCAGGGGCTGCTGCTGAGAATTGGCGTATGGATATGGTTGGTAGGGGTGTTGTGGTGAAGTCTGTACTCCGGGGCGCATGTGAGAGGTTTGATCATAAGAAGGCGTACGGCCCCCGTGCGCGTAGGTTGATGGTTGGGTGACTGGCGGCGGAGCAGGAGGAGTTTGTTGACCATTGTGGTTGACAGCAGTGAAGCCGGATTGGTTACTGGACTTTTCTTCTGATGCACTTTGCAATTCATGCTTGACCGAAGCGGCGCTGGTAGGCAAGGTGCGCTCTGCGGAGTCTTCGTCATGCGTCAGTCTCGTATCCGCGAGGTCCTTATCCCTGTCGGGCCATTGTCCGTCGTTGTCGTTAGCGTTAGCAATGTCACCAAACTGCTTATGCGTTCTTTCGAAGAGCTGTGCATAGTCTTTCAGCCCACCGCTAGCGACGCCATCGCTGGAGTTGCTCTTTGGAGAATCGTCGATCTGGCCGCTCAGTTCTCGGTACTTCTTCTTCTCGCGGCGGTAATATCTTTGCCATTCTGCTAGTTGACTGAGCCACGAGCGGGCCATCTTGAAGCGACTCAGGATGCGTAGTAGGAAGCCGTTTGCGATATCATGGGCTCTAGGGTCTTTACGAGATGAGAGGGCGTCGTCCGGGTCCATGTGAGGAAAGTAATGGCAGTAGATGGCTGGGGTGGTTAGCAATGACCAACCAAATCACTGTTAGATACTTACTGCCTATTCCAACGGCAAAACAAGAGAAAGCTACCGTTGGCGTTTGTACTAAATTGCTATGAACTTGTGAGTTCTCGATAGTATGAAGTAGTGTTGTGAAGTCGAGGCAGGCCTTCCAACAGTCTTTGGCTTGCTTGATCCAGTAGTCAGGGTCAGGGGGTTTCTCATCAATTAGTGGCTCGTCCAACGGGCCGCGGGGGTACGTCAACGTCCATGGTGATGTGGGCATGTACTCTCTGTACAACCACACAAAACACAATGTGTACATTGCATGTATCGCAACGTATTTGCCGGGCGAGTTGTAGCTACGGTCGTCGTTGTTGTCCGAGGTTAGCTGGAGGTGATCAGGAAGGTCGCGCTTCAACTGCTTGAGTTTGTCCTCCAATTTCTTGAAGCCAGTCATTGCGCACCACGGTGGATTCTTGCCTTCTTGTCTACACGTTGTCAGCCAAATATCGCGGCGGGATGAATGAGGCAAACGGACCTTCTGCCGCGTTTACAGGACCATTGTGAGACTTCTCCGAAGATCACAACAACTTTGATGTACCATGTTAGTTCTGCCTCCCCCTCAGCAACTTCCCACCTTCCCCCGTCCAGGGCAGTGGCTCGATCTGCTCCGTCGTGGTCATTACGGCGTTCCTCAGCGTGTTTGTTCCATCGTTTCCTCCGCGCAGTATACATCGCATCGTCTTCACCCAGAAGCCTTGTTCTTGCTCTTTTTCCAAAATTGAATGCGCCATCGCTACAGACAAGTTGAGTTCTTTGAAGTTGATCGGGCGTAAGCATCCTCGGCCGATCCTCCCCCCAACTCAGATAGCAATCCATGAGGACGCAGCTCCAAAAGGTACGCCGCTGCGTCTCGCGAAGTATGAATTGGTCCTTTTCCGAAAGGCCCTTTTCACAGTCTTTCATTGGTGCAGGTAGTCCGCTTTCATCGACATCCAGGTGCGGGTACCCAAGGCATATGGCAGCTCTGATAGCAACGCCGATCTTCATCCAGCCCTCAGTACCTTGCAAATTGGTCCATTCATAATACCCCAACATGAGGAGTGTTTGGATCTTTTCCACATTCGGGGACCCAATGATGTCCGTTCCCATCTGCGTGCGAGTCGCTGATGCGTAGAATTCGGCAGTCCTGATCGGGTCATTACCCATTTGCGCTACGAGCTTGTCATGGAAACGAGCAGTCTGGGTAAGGAAGGCTAAGAGCAAAGGCGCATACACGCGCGGCGTTGGAGCTTGAGTCGGAGTCTTAACTTCAGATGAGCTGCCAGATGAAGGCGGCGGTCGCACAGAGCTGAGAAAAGTTCGCTTATGCAAGAAGGGGAAGTCGGTAGAGAAATGCTTCTCATAGATGTCAAACAACTCTTCCCAGACCTGGGAAGTAAGCAATGGTGATTGAAGAGCATCTTCAGGCGAGCCCAAGCCTTCTACCGAGCGTTGCGCTGTAGTCGACGTTGGTGCTAGCAACTTGCGTCGCTTCTTGGGCGGGGCCTGGGGGTGTCAGCGCTAGCACGTGATAAGCCCAGGACGTGAACTCAGCCACGAACGTTGATATGCAACACGACTAATGGAGTATTGGGAGACAAAAAAGGATGACTTACATCAAAATCGGCCGTGCTATCGCGGCGCACAGATCCTGTGCTGCTTGCGACCGCCGCGTGGTCCCAGGTACAGTCGCGGTTGGTATTCGCGCAAGCCTTGCACGTCGTGCCCTGACCGGTGTTTTCGCACTTGGTCTTGCTTCGGCGACATCTGGTACATGCAATCTGCGAGCGCATGCCTCGTTTTGCTGAGGGCTCAGCACTGCCGCCGCTGGCATCAAGGGGCCCGGGGGTCTGCTGCGGAGACGCCTTGACGGTAGATGGAGACAGCTGCGTTAGGGGAGACTGCAGTTGCTGATGCTGTCCGGGAGGAGATGGCGGCCGTTGATGTCGTTGTTGTGGTGGGTAAGCAGGCAGTGCAGTTAGCCGCGGTGCATTCTCTCCGGTCATGGGAAGATGCGCGACGGCGCCCAGCTCAGGCGGTGCGCGAATATTGGCGATGAGTGCAGGGAGTTCTGAGAACGGAGGTGGATGAAGAATGGCGGTGCTGCGAGGCTGCGCGCGTCTTGTTGATCGAGTCTTCGGGTGATGTTGCTGCGATGTGCGGGCCGGAGAGATGGGATGGTTGCCGGAAACGCCAGTCACGGGCTGGGGCCGAAGATTACCAGACGACGACGACAAGATGCAATGCAGGTCGGAGGTCTTGCGCAATCGTCGCGCATTCCAGGGCAGCAGGCAGCACAATCTGCGGTCGCCGGATCGTGTGGTTCCAGCGTTGGGTGCTGGCTGACGTCTGCCTTAGATGCTGCGGGCACACGGGTATTAACGTTGGACCTTCCCTTCCGACGGGACGAGAGCAACTTGGCGTTGGTCCTTGCAGCGAGTCCTGCCATAGCATACCGTGGTATTTAAGCGATCGCTTCATCCGACAAACTTACCAGTCACCGCGATTTCTCTGCCGGTCTGCCGTCATGACCTTATGCTTACCCTGACAGCCCACGGCCAGACACCCAGCGGCCCAGCTGTTGGCCGCCGCGCAGTCGCAGCAGCAACCTCCCACTTCACCAGCGGCCCGGTTAGAACCGCATCTCCATCTATCGCTAATCCCGCCTGGTCCGAGTCTCTCAAACGCCTCCCTCTCTGTTTGCTCCAGCACATGAGCTGTCGCACGCAGAACAGGCGCTGACACGTGGGTGGGCCTGCATGCAGTAGTAAGGTGTCGCGGAGCCTTATGGCGCACGTACAAATACGCCCAGTCGATTGCGTTTGGCTGTCAGCCAGGCGCTTCACCGTCACCTTACTCTAGTCCGTCAGAACCATGCCCATCGTCGCCAGCGCATGTCCCGCATGGTTGTATGCAAGGCTCCGAACGGTGCAACACCTTCACATGATGCGAGCCTCTCGTCTATCTTTTGCCCCTTCCAGCTAACTACGCATATCGCTACCTATGATATCGCCAGGCCGTGTTGGCCGGTAGACGTAGCCTCGTTGTCTTACTTCCGCGGGTCTGAAAGCGGCATCAATCTCGATGGCTCGGCCTTAGCATTTGCCTCTGCCCGGCAAATCACCTCGATGCGCTCCAACGACTCTGCGTCTCAACGACGTTGTAGATGAAAGGTGCCAGGGGTTCTCGACTACCCATGGGTACGCCGCACTCGTACGTCAGGCCAAATGGGACATTTCTCCCCTCGCCACGGTTAGCGAACTATGTCGCGCATGCGCATGCGACCAAGTTCAGCCTGACATTGATGAGTGAGATTTTCTGCAAGTGACCCAATCTGGCTGCTGCACGATCGGTGTAGACCTTGCATCTTATCTGCCCTCGGGCATATTATGTCGCACCCGTTGCGTCTGTCGAGACTGTGGTACATGGAGTCTAAATCAAGTTTTGATCATTCTATCGCCTATGGCGGGAGGTGGCCAGGAGGTATTTAATGTACTTTGATGGGTCATGTAAACTTCGAAAAGCTGCTTGTAGCCTTCAGCCTCTTACACTTGGTCCGCTTCTGATCCCTGGAGCCTATGCGAGGCAACTACAGCCTATCTATCCCTCCTGATGTATCCTGGGTACGACGCGCTCGGACCACGTCCAATCGTCGCATTCGCCGTGGAAGGGCGATCTTGACGACGTTGGCCCATGATCTTAGCCATCTGATCGCGAGTCGCCTGGATAGCGGCGGCGACCTTGGACTGCGGTTTACCAGTCTCGACCTTGATGAGATCTTGGTTAGGATTCTCATCGATCTTGACCGCGGGCTTCTTCGTCTCGACCGACTTGGCCTCGGACGATACAGACGAGACGACTTGAGACCGCGCAGCCGGAGAAGGCTTCTTGGTGAAAGTAGGCATGGTGAAGCCAAAAGACGGGACGGCGACGTGTTTGCTGTGGTACTGTTGGTATGCCATCCCTATTGAGGTAAATTGAAAGCAACTTACGGCTCCTCTGGAGTCTTCACATCATCTCCGGGTGACTTTGATGTCGGCTTAGAAGACCAGCGAGAGCTGCCGAGGCCAGACATATCGTTGATCTACTGGGTGTTAGTACCGCATACCGCATACAAGACGCGTTCGACAGTACGCATACCTTTGTGTGTTCGTAATGTAGTCGTCAATGTATATACTAGTCTGAGCGTTTTGGTTCCCGAAATGTTGTTGCAGGTAGTAAGAAGAGAGAAGAAAGCCAGATCGACAAGATTATATACACCGAGGACCTCCTAGCGTACTCGTCTTCACCTTGAAAGAGCGTGAAATCGGAGTGAAGGCATCCGCGGTGACGCAGGAATTTACTGCGATATCAGAGATATTGACGCGGTGACGCAGGATTTTATACCATCGGGGAACGAGGAGTGTTTGCTACTGATACTCATAACACTCTCATGCGCCACTTTCCTCTCAGCGTGACAGCCCGCACCTACCACTTCTCAACCGCAGGCCTAAGATCAATCTCCCACGTAAAGTTCGTCTTTGGCTGGGTGTGCAACCACCAATAATCATTCGCAATCTGTCCACACATCAGCTTCAAGCATCTCCTCACCGTCGAACTATTACTCACTGCATCAGCACTCAACTTCGCCTCCTTAGGCATATCCTTCAACCACTCCTTCGTCCTCGGAATATCAATAACCCCATCAATAATCGCATGAGCGACGTGAACCTGCACATTAACACTGCATTAGCAAACCATATCCCCAGGTACAACCCAAAGAAAAACGACTGAATACTCACACCCTGCGGTCCAAACTCCCGCGCAAGGCTCTGACTCAGCGCCCTCAACGCCCACTTCCCCGTCGAGAAACTCGCCATTTGCGCATTACTCTTCACACTCGCCGTGGCCCCCGTAAAGATAAGACTAGGCGGGTGTTCACTCCCCCTCTCCACGCCCTTCAGCAACAACGGCAAGAAAGTCTGCGAGAAAAGCACTCCACCCATACCACTAACACCCAAACTCTTCTCAAAAGTCTCAACCGGAATCTCCAAAAACGGCTTCCGCATAAACGCACCAGAAGCATTGAAAATCGCTGCTGCGGCTGCGACGTCGTCGCCGAACTCTTTCTTGATCGCGGCGGCAGCTGAAGACAGGCTAGAAGAAGAGGACACGTCTGTGGCGATACCAATGGCTTTGCCGCCAGCTTTGTTTATTTCCTCGGCGAGAGAAGAGAAGGATTCGGGGGTGCGGGCGAGGAGCACGACGGAGTAGGTTTGGCTGAATTTGCGGGCGACGGAGGCGCCGGTTCCGGGACCAACACCAGCAACGATAGCGATGAGTTTGGATTTGGGGGACATCGCTGGGTTTGGCTGGGTTCCGGGGGATGGCAGGTTGAGTTGGTATGGGGATGTTGGGTGGGTGGGTGTGAAGGGGATCAGTAGTCGAGGAGGATGGGTGTGCTATGTAACGAACAAACGTAACAATGGTCTTATATCTTGCTACAGTCCTCGGTACCTTGGTTTGCTGTTTAGTAAACCTCCTCGAGATTTGAAATGGGAAATGTTGCAAGGCTGATTGCATAACATGCGGAGATAGCTAGAGCGCGAGGTGCGTCATGATTAATAAGCCACCCCCTCTCTCACATGTATGTACACCATGCCACACTCTCCACATACTCACAGAACTCATCAGTTCATGGTAAACAGCAGTATGACTGATTTAACGTATCTTCGTTGATGCATGACTCTACTCTACTCCATCCAGATCACTTGGACCCCTACGCCCTCCCCGCCCTACCCACCTGGATCATCTCCCCAGTAGGTTTATCGTCGCTCCTAAGGACCGGCCAGCTAGCTCCATCGGCCTTGACTAGCGTCATCTCGAGCTTCGTGCCTAGTATCCTGAACTTGCTCTCTTCCGGCTTGATAGTCGAGAAGAGGGGGAATTCGGTTTGGTAGCGCTTGCTGTCTGAGGTGGGGAGATCGAGCTTGACGTGTGTGGGTTGGAAGTCGACGACGGCGGTTGCTTTGTCAATTTTCTTGAGGTAGAGGGATGCGACGACGGAGGTGGCGGTTTGGTAGTAGTCGTGTCTGAGTGTGGGGTTAGTAGATGGTCTTGTATGGTCTTAATGGGAGACGTACCGAACTGTCTCTAGTTTCTCCTCGCCCTCCTTCTTCTTGCCGCTGCCGATGAACAAATGTCGGTCTTTTGTCTTGCACCCCTCAATCTTCATGAACTGATCAAACTCCATGACCCGCCTCTTACAGCAACTCCACCCCTTGCTGCCCTCGTGGAAGATGGGCGCACCAGGGTGGTGTATGCAGCTCTCTCCGTCCCTATCGCCTCCCTTGTGTGTCGCGCCGCATCCTTTCCTCCGACATGTCGTGCCCTCCTTGATCTCCAGACTCGGGTCGTCGTCTTCGGATTCTGGCGGCGGCGCCGGTGAAGCGCTTGGCTTGGGCGTGGCTTGTGCTGTGGGTAATCGGGGAGCGGGCGCGGGGAGGGATTCCTCGAGCGATCCGAGGTTGACTTGGGTGTCATTGGGCACGTCGGGGGCTTTGACGGGCTCAGGCTTGGGCGTGTCGTCGACGTCGGAGTGCTTGCCCTTTGTGCACGGCTCGATTGCGAGGAACTCGTCAAAGGTCAAGACGCGTGGTTTGCAGCATTCCCAGCCTGGGGAATCGCATTAGCACCTTCTCTGATCTTGTCGATATACGCGTTGGTGGTGCTGACCTACCTTTCTGCCCCTCATGGAATTTGGGTGGGCCGGGATGGTAAACACACTCTTCGTTCTCGTCCTCGTACGTCTTGCCGCAGCCCTTGTGAACACACTTCTTCGCCATAATTGTCGGTTTCTGTGAATAACGCGCTTAACGAGTGGAGAGAAAGGTCGGATGCGCGCTGCTTGTCGTGTTGCGATGCCCCAGATTTTGTTCCGAACATTCTGGAAATCAGCCGTCATCATAGGGTCCAAGCGCGAAGCTTAATCGATATCCTGGCAGTTGAAGCTTTCCATCTTCGAATTGCTGTCGCGTCAACACGAGTTTCCCCGCCTGTACTGCACGCTCGTAGTCATCGGTATTGAGAGAGTGTGTGGGTTGTCAACACGTCGCCGCCATGTTCCGCGCCACATCCCGTCTCCTCGCTTGCCGCATCACCTTCTTCACCCGAACTCCATGCGGCCTATGCGACACGGCCAAAGCAGTCGTGCAGAACGTCAAGGCGAAGAGGCCTTTTGATTACGACGAGATCAATGTCATGGACGCAGGGCAAGAGAAATGGAAGGGCACGTACGAGTTTGATACTCCGGTGGTAAGCCGACCCGGACCACGGATCTATATATGCGTGTAATGCACAGAGTACCTGAATGTTCAACTAGATCCACATCGACAAGGCCGAAGCCAAGGAGACGACTACGTCGTCGCTAAAGCTTATGCATCGTTTCAAGGAAGAGGACGTGATTAAGGTCATGGATCAAGCTGAGCAATCCTGAAGCCTCATCACATCTACCTAAGCCAGACTTCTTCTCCATCTGGGACCGCTCGCTACATTCTCCGCCATGTTATGTCGAAGGCGCGTGGTGGAAAAGAGCTTTTACCCGCTTGGTCGCTTGATCGAATAGACCTGTCTTCGGTCTCCCAGGCCCATCTGGTACGCCTTTTGTATCGCTCTTCTCCTCCACCATCGTCGTCGTGGATGGCTCTACCTCCGCATCTGTCGGCTCCTCTTCCTTCTTCCTCAACACCTGCCACTCCTCTCCCTTCTCCTCCACGACCACACCCTTAACCCTCCTCCCCCTCCCGCCATACCCCTTCTGATTCGACACAACCAACACCCCCGTCCCCTCATCCCTCCACGCACAACTGTAATGCGTATGTCCAAACGCCCACACCTTCACCACCGGCGACGTCCAACACACCTCCCTCGACAAATCAGTCACGAACCCTGAATTCATCGAACTAGCCGCGTGCCGCGGATCCGTCGCGCGGGCATCAACAGTCGGGCAGTGGTGTGTGGCGATGATCACGCTGCGGTGCGGTGCGGTGGTTTGAATATGTTGGACTTGCGCGTTAAGCCACTCCAAATCCTGCGCATGCTCCTCGCAACTTCTTTCCGGCGACCACTTCTGTATACCGCGCTCTTCATTGTAATCAGTCATCCTGGATCCCACCTCAGCGGCCTGCTCGGGTTGGATGTTGCTCCAGAGTGTGCATCCTAGTATCGACACTTTCTCATTGAGATCGAACCGGTCGCGGCACAACAGGCGAAAACGACCACCGTATTCCCGCCTCGCTAGTTGCTCGAACTCTCGCATTCGTTCGACGGCATACTCGAAAGTCGTGTGGTACGCTTCGTGATTGCCGAGGACGTAGAAGATACGACACCCGCGGTTTCTGTCAAGGAGATCGCACAGAAAGACAAAGAGGTTTTCGTGGATGACTAGGCCTATGTCTCCTAATAGGAAGAGTGCGCTGCCGTTGACTGTCAGGTTGATGTTTAAGTACTGTGGGTTGTTCATGGGGGTTTCAAGGTGGAGGTCGGAGACGATTTGGAATTGCGGCGCGAAGAAAGTCATCTTGGAGTTTGTGTGTTGTGTGTGGCGTGGACAGTTGTTCGAGCGGAATATCTTAATGAGTCGAGGGATGCGCTAGTAATGGGCTTGTAGCATCCAAGGTTGGTAGTGGGGTCTTTGGGTGACCAATCGACGGTTAGGCGATATAGGACATGAAAGTCAGGCACGACCACGAAGAGACCCTCTCACTCATGTGCATCAGGCATCACATTCCCGCTCCAAGGCCTCACCCGCTCCACCGGCCACCTCTTCCATCAACTCCATCTCTTCGACCGGCACAATGCGCTCAGCCTGGACACGAAGCTGCTCCGGATTCCAGGGCCCTTCATAAGGCAGTCTGCGCCAAAGTAATGCGATGGCTTCGCGAGGGGTGGCAGAAGGACGGCAGCGGAGGGTTGTGAGGTATCAAGCGAGGACTATGGATGTGTCGAATGTGAGCTTTGCGGCGACGCTTAAACCGTGAACTTGGGGGCGTGAGGGTATTGCGACGGTCATGCAGTTAATGAGGTGGGCAGCATAGTGTATGACCGCTTTGAAGCTGCCAAGATGCGCATCGAATGGTCTTTAACGCGCGGAGTGCACACACGCCGTTACTACCCAGGTACTTATGCAAACTGGGAGCTCGTTACGAGATACGCATCACGAACGATCGCCGAAGGAGCCCGGTGACCTTTTCCTTCGTCACATCAATCGTGCACGCCCGCGCACTTCCTTATACCTAGGTTCATACCGGGGTCTGCCCTCTATGCATAAAGGTGCACGTTGTAGACGGTTCCTTGTAGTAAGTTACGTGCAGGCGTATTTCGTACATGCGGCGTACAGGTCGTTTAGCGGTTGGCTCGGGCGCTCGTCGCGGGGCTACCAACGGCCAACGGCTGCCGAGATGCGATTCGCGGAGTGCCGTGCCTAACGTCTCTGTCTTTCGCACTGGACACTGAGGGGTCTTCTCTGTCTTCCGCGCTCGAGCCTGAGGGGTCTTTTCGCCAGGACAACCTTGGGGATGGATCTTCGGTAACGGTGGTTTGACCCACTTGGTACGACATACGAGCGGGACGGAAACATCCGACGGTTCTGACGGTTCTGGATGATGGCTGGGAACGTCGCGGGCGCAGCACGGCGGTGAGAACGGCGAGCTGGAGCTTTCACCAGAATAATATCGGAGATTGCATTACCAAGGTTTTGGAGGGTAGTCGTATCTCGCATAGGAAAAAAGGGATTTACCATCTCCTATATAGGTATATGCGATGACTGCTCTACATTTAGTCGCATTAGTCTACCTTTTCTTCATTCATTTCTTTACTACATTCGTTCAGTCCTTATCGAGGACCCCCCACCATATCATGGGTTTCTCTCAACTGGCCCTGCTGGCTTGCCTAACAGTTGCAGAAGCGGCAACAACACCAAGATTCCATTCACTACAGCCTGTGCGACGAGCAGACGACAGCCTGCCGGCGATTTTCGGTTCAAATGGCACTACTACCCTCAAAGGGACTACTAGTTCCCCAGACGTGGTCATTCTTGACTACGGTGCTAACGTCGAAGGCCATCCCACTTTCGAAGTCCTTTCAGCTACTGGCGACACTTCCGGTCTAGAGATCACGTATAGCGAGACTAGAGCGGTATTGGACGCTTTCTACACCGTAAGTCTTACGCCGCACGTGATTTTGGAACTCATACTGATTCATTATGCAGAGCGATGGTCCGATCGCCTTGGCCGCAGCTATGGACACCTACAGAGTCAATCAGTACAATGTCACTGGGCCCATGATACATACCAATCGCCTCATTCAGGGAGGCTTCAGATACCAGAAGCTCAACCTCTCGACAACAGGCGAGCTGGTCTTGAGGAACGTCGGTGTGAGGCCTACAATCGCGAACATACCCCTTGATCAACTGCCGGGATACTTTGAGACCTCGGATGAGGACCTCAATCGGATCTGGAAGGTTGGAGCGCGGACAGTTCAATTAAACGACATTCCTGCGCACTCCATTCCGGCGTTCTGGCAGGTCTCCTCCGAAGGTTCTCTGGTAGAGAGCCAAGCCCCTCAAGTTCTGTCAGGCGGCGCCGCTGCTGGACTGATGAGTTACCAGCTTGCATTCGAAGTCAAGCCTGTCGTCAAAGGGTTTGGATTCTCCGTACTGGCTGACACTCTCAACTCCGGAATCTACATCTTCTGCAATATTGCCAACGGATCGATCTCCGCACACTTCGGATCCACTGAAGATTCTCCTCCACTTGCATTCGCAAGATTGCCAGCGAACATAACCCTTGGTAGCTGGCACAAAGTGGAAGCTACTGTGAATACGACTAGCATCGCGGTATCTTTCAACCAAGTTCCGGTTCTTCAGTTTTCGCAGACTTCTGTATTCTTCGGATCCTTTGGATTGGGCGCGTCATTCGGCCACTCTGCCGTTTTCCGCAACCTGTCCGTTACGACACCGACAGGTCAATCGATTTATTGCGCATCGTTGACAGACGAGGCGTTCTTGTCGGACTTTCTGATGGGCACAAACCCGCACGATACAACGGTTGACGGCTCGAAACGCGACCGCATTGCGTATGCAGGCGATCTGGACATTGCGCTCGTGTCCTCGCTGTCGAGCACCAACGGCATCAGCTACATCAAAGGCACGCTCGATCTTCTCGGTTCCTTCCAACTGACCCCAGGGTTCTTCGCACCCACTGCAAAGATCCAACAAGAGCCACTTTCCGCTCCGGTCGATGCCAATGTCACTGGTCTGATTGGCTACTCCTTCAACCTCCTCACCGCAGCTGCCAACTTCTACATGCGCACCGGCGATGTCGATATGCCAAAGAAGTGGGCACCCAAAGCTGTACGCATGTTGGACTGGGCACACTCTCAAGTCCTGCCCGAAAGCGGGTTGTTGAACATCACCAACCCTGCCTTGGGCGGCGACTGGAATTACTACGACCCGTCACAGGCGGGTGTTGTAACCAAGTTTAACATGGTCTACGCATACGCACTCCAGGAGTGCATCAGGCTCCTTGCAGACGGTGGCATCGACACCAAGCCCTACATTACCCGCCTTGATGCTCTGCGCATCGCGATTGACCAGAACCTCTGGTCGAATGAACTCAACGCCTACTACCTCTCCCAGTCCATCAACAACAGCTTCGCACAGGACTCGAATACCCTGGCCATTCTCGCTGGCGTGACCAGGTTCAACCACACGTCATCCCGCGTTCTGAGCACCCTCAAGCAGCTTTCAACACCAAAAGGCCCTCTTGCTTTCTCGAACGGAACTATCGCAGCCGGGTTCTCAAAGTTCATCAGTCCCTACGCAAGCGCCTATCACCTTCGTGCCGCATTCGAGGCCGACGACAGCGAGACGACCATGGATCTGCTTAAAAGCTTATGGGCGCCCATGGCCGACCCGAAGGGAGCCAACTACACGGGATGCTTCTGGGAGACTCTGGACGCAGCCGGTGCGCCTGCGCTGGGGAGGGGAACTAGCCTCTGCCACGGTTGGGCTGCAGGTCCCACTGGGGAGCTCAGCGATCATGTCTTGGGGGTGAAGCCCGTAACTCCAGGGTATACCGAATGGCGAGTCGCTCCTGTTACGCTGGACTTGAAGTGGGCTAGGGGCAGAGTCCCCGTGCCCGGGGGTGAGATCTCCGTCGCTTGGAATGCTACTGGGCGTGTTATTACTAGGTTGGAAGTGATGAGCCCTAATTGTACTTCGGGTACGGTTGTCCTACCTCTGTCGTCGCAGAAAGGATATGTTGGAGGCACTTTCAAGGTGAATGGGGAGGTTGTGGCGAGAAACGCGACATTCAAAGTTGCAGGGGGAAAGCCTTTTGTTCTCACATACGATGTCTAGCCTCCGCAGTGTGATTCAGTCCTGTTCCGAAAACCTTGGGCGTTAGCTTGATGCGAACGTTGTACAAAATTGTAGATGTAATCAAAATTTTAATCCGACCCTGACTGCACTAGTATTCCTGTGAAGCAAGCCCATCGCAGCGCGATATTGTTTAGCAAATAAGAAGTCCAATCGTTAGTTTGTTATATGTACTAGAATCGCATTTGCGGCCAGTACCTGTGCCTTGATGTGGGTAAGCAGGGTCTTCTTTGAGTTTAGGTATGAGGAAGCTTGCCTGCTTACTTGAGACGACGAGGTTGTTTCTCGTCACACTTTACGCGACGTTTTCTGGTGTCTGTTGGTAAGCTTTGACAATGCCATCGCGGAGTGCGATGAGGATAAGTGATGCGATAGCCATACCGCGTCGATGTTGATGACACGAGATGGATGGCTCCACAAAATCCGGCAGGGCGTCGTATCCGCCGCAACTCAAACGCCCTTGACTCATCTCTTCATGAAGGATGTTCACGCCAACACGCTCAAAAGCCACTTTTTATGCTGCAATGCATCGTCCACATCTCCTTAACATACATTCTTTTCAAGATCGTGACGTGTAAAAGCAGGAAAGGTGTATTGCCGTTCCCCATCAACCCGCATCACCTAGCGCGTCCCAGTGTGGGGTAAACCTCTCCACGCGGCAGTACCCCTCTCGTACCTACAAAAGCCATGACGATACCGCACGCCCTACGAAGAGCCACAACATTAAACATCCACCAAGCAAAACCCCACGCAGTCTTCACAAGTCGTGTTTCTTTCTTCTCAGGAAACAGACAATTCGCATCTTATCCCCGCAACATGAACACCCTGCAAGAAGCAAGCCGGGTATACAAGGCCTTCCAGAAAGGAGGGCCGACTTTCGGAGGATGGCAGGTAAACAACACACAACGCGAAGTTGACTTAACGTCAAGGCTGATGGTGTGACAGATGCTTCCAGGCACGAATCACGCGCGGGCAATTGCTCGTTCAGGCGTTGATTGGATATGCGTCGACACCGAACATGGCAACATCAACGACAGCCAAATGCACGAAGCCGTAACCGCCATCGCCCACGCGGGCGTAAGCCCTCTCGTCCGCATCGCCGCGAACGAACCCTGGATGGTAAAACGTAAGTTACCTTTACCACCTTCTCCCCCATTCCAAAGTCTCCAAGTGGCATCTAACACCACCCCAGGCGCCCTCGACAGTGGCGCCCACGGCGTCATAGTCCCGCTCATCTACACCGTTGACGACGCCAAAAAACTCGTTTCCTCCGCCAAATTCCCGCCAGAAGGAACGCGCGGCTTCGGCTCACCGCTACCAACCCAGTGTTTCTCAAACGAACCACTAACCTACTACCTGCGCCACGCAAACACTTCGCTCCTTACCATTGTGCAGATAGAAACAGCGTCGGCACTAGCCTGCTGCCGTGAAATCGCCGCCTTGCCCGGCGTTGACTGTTTGCTGATCGGGCCCTTTGATCTTGGTAACAACATTGGTCATCCTATTTTGACTCCGACTATGGATAAGGAGCTGGAAGACGCGATTGAGACAATCAAGGAGGCGGCGCATGCGGAGGGGAAGAAGGTGGCTATGTATTGCAACTCGGGCGAGGATGCGAGGGGGTATGTGGAGAGGGGGTTTGATATGGTAAGTGTGTTGACAGATCAGATGGGGATTACGGGGGCGTTTGAGAGGAGTTTGGGGGTTGCGAGTGGGAAGGTTGAGGGGAGTGGGGTCAAGGGGGTGAAGGGGTATGATGGGAAGTAAATGCGGAAGCGATGTATTGAAGAGCTGATCCCACGATGGATTATCTACTTGAGACACCATGTTCTTGTGATAGAAGCACGATAGATGCAGCGATGTAGTCGCAAAAGCCGATTTGTATTTGCTGTAGTTGGGTGTCGGAGGTCGCGAAGATGCTCAGGCGTGGCGTGACAGTACGCCACTCACACACCTGATTGTGTATCGTTCGGGTCGCCTTCTCCGTGTCTGACGAAACGACGTGTCGTCCTTAGCGCATATGGCTTGATAGCATACCCGTTTGCCGCCTGCCGGAATCGATTCGAGGAAATCCCGTAGCAAACGATATTATCGATCCAATCTTGGTCCCACTGCTCGTCGCTCCAATCTTTGCGTTCGAACAAAAACGCATCTGAATCCCAAGGCTCACCTACGTCCCCTTTAAACTTGACGACTGACGAGCCTTCTACTATCTCGCGGATCATCTTTGCAAAGTTGGTGGGGAGAGCCAACCAGAAATAGTAATCCAGCGTATGTGACCTAGGAGGTGGGTCCTGTTTCAGAAGCCGATATTGCTCGAGTCGCGCCTCCTGCGTAGCCGCAGCGTACTTGATCAGTTTCCAGATCTCGGAGATCTCTCTGGTCGAGCCATCGATGACTGAGCTGAAGGAATGGAGTGGCATCCCGCATGACAATAGCTCATAGGCCTCTTCGATCCAAGGAATCAGTACCCAGAAACATTCCGTAGGTTTCAGCCAGTTAAATTCGAGATCGGGAACGAATGTATCGGACCATATAAAGCCTTCCGGGTGTAGGTTATTGAACAGGTCAATGCATCTTTCTATATGAAGGTTTGGGTTCTCGAGACAGAAGGGAATTAGGCCGCGGGCATGAAGTTCAGGCCGAAACACCTATTTGAAGGTCTCGTTCAATATGAGGTTGCGCAAGTTATACCTTCGTTGCGTTGACATCTGCCGTACTGTTAACGTTAGTGGATATCCGTTGGAAGGCACATCGGCAGTAGAAATGGGGACTGTTCGAATTACAGAAGTCAATTACGATCGACGCCGCAGAGAAGAACCATCATTCCGCAGCTGCTATCATGTGAGTATTCATACCCGGAAAGTAGAAGACACCCTCGTTGGTCATGGGAAGCTGAGTGTCGGTGTCGCCGGGAAGGCAGATCAGGGATTCGAGCTTTGCCAGCTCGTCATCGTCCGCTGGCCCCCATATCGTGGGCGATTGCGACGAGGCTTTTGATGATGATTCCATCAAAAAATCTACGAATTGCATTGAGTACAACCGGACGGTTCAAGGTCCCGGCCTCAGCACCTCCCACGAAGCCCCGAATCTCGCTTATTGCAGACATCCGGATGCAATGATAGAGTTCGCGCGTATGAACCACGCTAGACAATGAGTTTCTCAGGGGATGATACACTGGTTGGAGGTCTTGAGAGCCGCCGATGCCGCCCCCAAGTCGACCCCCAAGGGCCGAAAGCGTAAGGCTGACCCAATAGATCAACCGACGCTACCTCCGCCGAATAAGCGCCAAAAGGGTGGTCCACGCTAACTCGAAAGTCAGACAGCGCCCGTCCCAACACGAACCCCCATCCTGGCAGGTTGCGGAAACAACTCCTTCGTAACAGAGTATTGGTCAAAATTAAAGGGGAAGCCCTCTACAGAAGAAGAGCCAGTTGATAGCTCGGAATACGACGATGTAGAGGAGGGAGCTATGTCTTCGCGTTCCCGAGACTTGCAAGACCGTGGACACGACGGTAGCGATAGCGGGCAAGAGGATGAGGCTGAAGGCACGCACCGCAGCGAACGGCCGCCAACAGATGTCACGGTGGCCAACAGGTTGATCATAACAGGCATCATGCAATCGTCACAGCCTCACAAGGTGCAGCTAGTAGCAAGCTTCCCAACAACACGTATCATCATGCTGGTACCCTACCGAGCAGCTAGAAGTACATAGAGTGATACATTCTGTTTACAGACCTCTACCACCTTGAATAAAGCACAGTACATGTATAACACAAGGTAATGTTATAGGTTAGCAGGCGGGGAAGATAGGTGCACGTAATTAGCGTATTTACTACGTATTGCAGATAATATAGAGTTAGACTAAGATAAGAATATAGCTTAAAGAGCGTATAATAAGTATAACGCACTCTATAGGCAAGTTAGCTATACGCCCGAGTTGCCTACCTGTGCTAAGACTCTACTAAAACTACAACTGCGCACAACAGTGTAGAACTGTACAAAACTATAATTAGAAATTATAATAGACTATTCTACTTAGAATCTAATACTATATCTTACTTATATATACGTGAATTATAATTAGCCTTACTATAGCGTTTACAGCGTCTTTGTAATAGTGTACTTACTTTAATATTTAAGAGGCTACGCCGTATTAAGCAGACTGCTCTAGTTACATAACGTACAACTTAGCGCCGACTAAAGCAGTAAAGCACAAGGCCTACAAGGAGCGAGTCGTACGCGTAAGAAGAACCTTTCTTCTCTTATCTTTCTTCTTCTCTATATAGAACAAATGCATACTCGTTAGCAGGCCTCTTTCCGCCTATAACACTAGAGTCTAGTTGCATTTCTCTACATGCTAGCCTACTCATCGACAATCTGCACGATAACCTTTCCAATATGCTTCTGATCCCATAAATACTTATAGGCCTCTCGAGCATGTTCTAGTTTGAAGAGCCTCTTGTCTAAGGCGGGATGAATATCATTTTGCTCAATAGCACGGTTCATTTCCTCAAACTGGCGTCTTGACCCAACAGTCACCCCCCGCACAGTGCAGAGGCCGAGGACGGTTTCAAGAAAGGTTGGTGCCTGGCTCATTTCTTCCCCCGAGGCATACGAGGCAACCGAGCCTACCATCGAGATGACGCCCATGGTCTTCAAGGCAGTGAGCGCCTACCAATCAGGCGAGTGAATCAGCTTCTGCTTTACAAGCACAGCATTGCACGGATTGGACAGAGGGCTTACCTGTCTGGCTGATACTGGCCCGCCAACCTCGACTACGAGGTCGACTCCGTCTTTGTTGGGCGTCAAGCTCTTGGCGAGCGCGCCCCAGTTTGGATTCTCTCTGTAGTTGAGCACGTGGTCCGCACCAAGCTCCCTGAGACGTTGAGCTTTCTCATCCGACGACGTCGTCGCAATGACTTTGGCCCCTGCGGCTTTGGCAAACTTGGACAGCATTAGCTCCAAGACTCTCATGCTAAGATGTGATGGTTAACTACCATGATAGCAAAGGTGCTGACACCGCCTGTACCCTCGGTAAGAACCGTGTCTCCAGGTCTAAGCGCCCGGCCTTCATCAGGATAGAGAGCACTCCAGGCCGTTAGTGCAGCGCACGGCAGTGACGCTGCCTCCGCCAAACTCAAATTTGTCGGGGCGCGGACAAGACCCTGCTCCGAGAACGCGCCATACTCTCGAAGAGTGCCATCGAGAGCACCGCCCAGAGAGCTATGGAGATAGCTGGTGTCGAAAGGCCCCGCAAGGTGATCCTGGTGAAACAATCCCGTGACTCGATCGCCGACTTGGAAGCGGCTCACGTGAGATCCAACGGCAGCAACGATGCCAGCTCCATCGGCCACTGGTACTGCGCCATCTTTGGCTGGAAAGGGATACTGGCCCTGGGGATGTTGTTAGCGGGAGGAAGCCGAAAGCCACCAAGAGGCGTGGCCGGAATGCAAGCTTGAGTCACGGCCGCTAGAACTGCGAAGTTGGAGCGTACCTTGGCAATTATTAAGTCGCGGAAGTTAATCGACGCAGCGTGGACTAGTAGACTTCAATCAGCTATGGCAGAGATAGAGGGGCATACTGCTGCTCATACAGCGAACCAAGACCTCCCGGTCGCCGATAGACGGAACAGGAGCGTCCGGCTGGAACTCGAGGGAGCCGAAACCGTTGCTGCCGCGAATTACCCACTGTTTCTGTGTCTGGGGGCCCATAGTGTCTTGATGGATAGAGGGTGAGGGTTCATGTGCTGGAAGATTGTCAGCTTAATGAAGATTGAAAAAAAGAACTGCTAACTCAAATGATCAGGTTCAAGGTCGAGGGCTGGTATAAACGTTGTCCATTCTAGGTGCTTGGCGCCAGGTATTGCATTTGTAAGAATTTGCGGTTGATTACTCTACGATGGTACCGGTAGGCCTCGGGAGACGTTGTTCAGCAGCGGGGAGCAGATCCGGATGCAACTCGTTTCCGCATCCGACCGAGACCCTAGTCCTTCCTCCAGTTAGAAAATCAAGAATAAGATCGCCATCGAGAAGAAAATGTTGGATATTATTTGCCTTGGCAGCGATGCGCGATACCATACACTATAGAAGAACGAGCGATAGAAGCCCACGATTACGCAATGATGCAGAACAGCCTTGGGGATGGCTTTTTTCGACCTGTCCATCTCAGGCCGAATAGCGAGTGACATAATAGCGTTTAAGATAAGCTAAGCTAGAAGCGTAGCGTAGGTGCAGCTAATTGCATAGCCTTAAGTGTAGCAAACGGTCGCTACCGTTGGCGCTAGTGGGAAGGTATCCTCAGGGGCCTATCCAGGCGCAGGGTGCGGGAAATGCGAAGAGCTGACGTCCCCGTACATGGATGCCAGTGGCCGGCCCCGCCCTGGCATGATGCCGCGCCGACCTCGGATGGTACACAGATGCAAGAATTGAAGCCAGATGTCGTATGAAAAATAACAGATTGTCGCCAGCTACGAAATCATGTGACACTGCTCAGGTTTCAGTGTGAGGGTACTCGCAATGATCACATAATCTCGTCCACAAGACGGAACTCGCTACGAACGTCAACCGAATCTTGTTAGATGCTTAGCCTCATACAGCGTACTTACGTCAGTGATACTTCTTGATGGAAACTACCACATTGAAATTACCACTCGAACAACCTGAACAGAAACCTGATGATGGAAACTAAGTACTGATGAAACGAACGAATTTTCACGTCTCAACGCAAGGTACAGACCAAATTTTGTGTCTACAGGTTTCTCACGCGTCCGGTCCCGACTTCTGCAGTACTTCAGCATCATGTAACACCAGTGCATACCTTGATCTTAGCAGATCCGAAAGGTCCTGATGGGGATATCAACCTTAAAGGTGAAGAGCGTAGACTGTCAGCAACGTGCTTGGCGCAACGAACATGGAGAGCCTAATTGAGATTCACTGCACATACAAGACGTGAAAAAGGCTGAAGAGAGCTTTCTAATCCGTGAAACTCGCTGCGTATGTGATGGGTGATAAAGAACTTCCTTGATAGACACATTCGGTTTTACGAAATCACTCCACCTCCTGTCCGTTTCCAACCGTCATTTCCAACCACCGTTTCCAACCAAGCTTGTACTTCTAACATAGTCAGAGAGGCTCCATATCATACGTTGGAATTGCCAAAGAGGCCCCCATATAAGTCTTCCCAGTTGGATCTGAAGATACCTGTCTCGCGCCCATCGTCTATGATATAGAACTTCTTCGATCGCACGGCCTTAGGCAATATTGTCTCTTTGTATACGCTTATAGACGGCAGCATAGTTTCCAACCATGCTTTTACCTCCATCTTGGCCTTGAAGACTGCCACTAGTCCGTTGGTATAGCTAGCAAAGTACCTCCGAAAGTTTTGGAGATTGCCCTCGTAGATACCTGTCTCTTGGCTACTGACCATCGCAAAGTACCCCGGTCGTCGCTCGAATCTGTTGGAGTAGATAGGCTCCCTCACTAAGAGATGTAGGCTACGTAGCACGCCTTCAATGATGACAAAGGTGTATGGTTGTGGGGATGGCACGTCGTAGTGCCAGCCGTCGTGAGGCCATATCGAATCGTCCCCACTATAGTGACTAGAAGATCTCGCTTACGGAATGGGTGTGGGCCCCAATGGTCTTCTTGTAGTGGACATGGTGTATAGTTGCTTTCTTTGCTCAGTATCACGCACAGCGACCGAAGGTTTCATAGAGTGACGACTTACAGTGCTAAAACTATTGGGTGGTACAAGCAGAATGCCCGTGGTGTCACTCAGCGATTATGGTGTTATGGTCGAAGACGCAAAGATGCAAAGTCGAGGACAGTGTTCAGTTGTGTGTAGTACGGAAGCTAGTACATACGTAGGTAGTCGCTCGGGCCGTCCATGGATTTCAGCTACTTCGCCGCTTATGCCAAGCGGCTCTCCGGATTTACAACGTACGCACTAAGACTACGTGCAAACTATATTAAGCAGCGGCAGAGATGGTGAGAAATAGCAAGAAATACATGAGAAGAATTAGGTACATGCGAGTTGAATGCAATGATGCTCGTGAATTTCATCGCTAATCGTCTAAACCTTGCACTACATGTCTCCCCATGCAAACACATATGAACTTTTCTTGGCTAACAATACTGTTGTGAGATTTTTAAAGCACCGTTCGCTGATGGAAGAAGGACAGGAAAGACAACCACCATGCAGGGGTATAAAACTACCATAGATGCATATGCTTTTACACGAATGAAAGGAGAACAAGAACATAGGCAGTGACAAACGCTCCTCGGCTAACATCCGGGTGTGAGGCTCAGAGTGATAAGAGATATAGGTTCATAGGGCAGCAGCTCAGGTATCCGCGCATGATCACGGTCATGGACGAGGGGTAGACTTGGTCTTCTTGTTGCGCCTCATGGGCATCATCCGTCCACCCTGCGCGATCTGGCCGTTGCCGTTGCTGCGCGACATTGAGCAAGCAGGTCGGTCGTCTTCGGATGACATGGACGCCATGGCGAAAGAGTCGGTATTGTGTCCGTAGTAAAGCAACATGCCAGAGCGCATCTTCTTGACGCCAAGGATACCGATGGCGCCTGCGGAGTTGCTGTGCTTGACACTTGGGTGACCTAGCATGGAGTTAGTATATCGCACATGATAGCGACAAGAACTGTGTACCCATGAATTCGTTCTCGATCATCGCCTTGAGAGCTTCGTCCTCGGTGACTTGAACATAGTCACCGCCACGGCTTTTCTTCACGCTCTGGTAGAGACGCTCGGCGCATACCGTAGCGGCCATAGTGGTTGCCATGTGCTCACCGGTTCCGCTTGTGACAGTCGCAACAGATGTCTGCTCGGGATCATCGGGGTCAACGGGGATGACTGCAGCACCCACGCCGACGAGAGCTGCTGGGCCCACGCGCCCTCGATACTTCATGCCAATGCCACCAGAAGATGCACCGCAAGCAATGTTTCCCCAGCTATCTATTGCGATAGCCCCAACAGTGTCGGTGATGTGATCTTCCTCGGGTTCATGGCGGCTCGAATTAGATGGCATCGGCGGTAGTGGCGCGGTCTCTTTGACGTGACTCAGAGGTGTCGATGCGGTAGCGAATTTAGAATTGACCGAGTTCTCGTCGGGAGTCTGTGGTAGACGAGGGTCGATACCATCACACTGAGAGCTCTCCATGGGGTTGCCCTTTGCTGTCTGCGCACTCGAATCAGAGTCAAACTCCTCCCCAGACCCATCCGCCCATGCTTTGCGGGGCTTTGGCGCGTAGGTTATGTCCTCCATCTGCGCATCTTCCATAATGCTCTCGTAGCCTGCATCGCGACGGTACTCTTTCAGGGCAGGGATCTGTTGCGTGCTGTTGACAAATGCATTGCGAGAAGCATCCGCAACAGTAGGTGGGCGTACGTCAGCAGATGACGAGGCTTGGTTGACCAGTTCGGGTGCACTAGTCTGCTCATCGCTGATCCAAGAGCTCGATGACTGCTCTGAAGGAGGAACTGAGGGGTCGGAAGATGCATTCTCAGCCTGGTCGTACATCACATCGTCTGAAAGCGGAGGTGACTGTGACTGTAGTAGGGATTTGTGGGTGCGTAGCAGATTTTGGGTGTGTTGTTCGCGCACGCGTTCGTGCGCTCGCTCATCTGCTGGTGCCACACTGTCTCTGATCTTCCAACAGGACGGGTGGGCGCCGCTCTTCCTGGACTTGCGCTCAGCAGACCTCAAGTCGGAACGCCATCGCATCCAGCGCTCTTTCGCGGCGGGAGAGATGAGTGCGTCGTGGGGTAGAATCGGCATACCCATCTCCACAGCAAATTCGGTGGCACCCTGCGACACCAGGAGGTTTGGAGGGACTCGACGCAGCGTAAGTGGACTCATCGTGTGGTCGTGAACCATTCGTGCTAGCGAGATAGGGTTCTTGATTTCTGTAACCATTGTCAGTACTGAGCCATAGCCTTTAGTTGCTAGACTTACGAGCGACAGCCCCGACAGCTCCGCTACGTCCGTAATGGTCGACCACGGAGGCATCGCACTCAACCACACCGTCCATTGCGAGGTTGCTTCCATAGCCAGCATTGGTGATTTCTCGATCTTCCAATGTCTTAATTGCAGCTTCAACGGCATCCAGCGCTGAGCCACCGTTCTTCAGAATCAACATGGCCAGCTGTGAGGCACTGCGCTTGTTAGCATGAGCGTAGGCGGGACATCCTAGAGAAGACACCAGAAAACTCACTCGTTACACGCTTCCAGATGTATCCTCTCGTTCTGGTGACTATGGTAGCCGGCGCCAGCATGAACATATATGCAGCATACATCATCGTTTGGCGGACTACGCGAGGCTTTGCGTGTGTGCGTATCAATATGATAAGCTCCGTCTATGGGTGCATAGTGACGACTAGGGACCGACATGCCTTTGTGAGTGGAAAAGCGTCGACAAAGGTCGCGGAAGCGCAGGCCGAACGTATCCAGTGCAATCCAGTGAGAGATGGCGGTTCTCAGATGAGGCTTGGTTGCAGTTCTGGGTCTGTACAGACGTGACGGGCGTTTGTTGCCGGGGCGGGGATGTTTGGCCGATTATTGCGATGATCCGGTGTCGCTCCAAAGTGGGCGGTAGCAGCAGACGGCTGTGAGGTTGACTGTGGAAACGGTCGTTAAGCGGTCATTCGAGACACGTGCAGGTGTAGGTTCGGGAGAGAAGATAGGTAATTCCAGGACAGACGAGGTGACTGAGGAGGGGAACAATGAGAAATTAATGGAGAGGATGAGCCGATGTAAAGGCGATGGTGACCTGTGGCGGCGGGGTGAGCAATGAGAGTGGGAGAGATGCTCGATGAGCGCTGTAGGGGCACAGTCAGTGGAGAGGAGGTTAGCAGCGATGTCAAAAATGAGCTTGCGATGGCTCTTTCCTCTGTGTATCAGCCTAAGCCATGTGGTTGCAGTATTTTGCGGTATGACACAGACTCTGTTGAAGCGGTAGGCACGGCAGATCAGGGAGGTAGGAGCGATCGTGTTGACGAAGTGAGCAAGTCCTTCCCCACTATTTCGTCTCACTCCGCTGCCAAGGGCGGAGCGGGGCGGTGCCTGATTCGACAACGTGCACCGACCGCCGTCGTCACCTCTTTGACGAAGCCACCTCGACACCCAGCCCACGCGCTTCTGCTCTTATACCAGGTACCACCTGAGCTGCGTTGCATATTCGTTTTTGTGCCAAGCAGCAGTAAAGATGGCGTCTCAAACCCCCGCCGTTGTCATGGACAAGTAAGCTACCCGCTGGCCATGGGCACCCACGTTGCGATCGAGTACTGACACTGGCTATAGCGGTACGGGATACTCGAAGCTCGGTACGCTGACCGATTCAATTCGTCGAGTTGACCACTAATAACAATTCCCCAGGCTTCGCCGGCAACGACTCTCCCTCCTTCGTCTTCCCCACTGCGATAGCTACCAAAGGCCCAACAGGCGGTAGCGGCGGATCAGGCTCTGGACGCCCAGCCGTTGCGAACAAGCCCTCATTCCTGACTGGTGGAGCTGGGCCAGGTGGGCATCTGTCTGGAAAGCGCGGTACCGAGGACCTCGACTTCTTCATCGGCGACGAAGCTCTGGCCGCAGCTGGAGGCGCGGGCTATGGCATCAACTACCCGATCAGGCATGGTCAGATAGACAACTGGGTATGGAGAGGCATGCAGATCGAGGGTAGGGTGTACTAATGGCATGCAGGACCTTATGGAACGCTTCTGGTCCAACTCGATATTCAAGTACCTGAGAGTGGAGCCTGAGGACCACCACTTCCTCCTCACCGAGCCCGTACGCTATCTTTCTACAATCGCTGGAGGATGGAGCTAACAAGGCATAGCCACTGAACCCTCCCGAGAACCGCGAAGCCACCGCCGAAATCATGTTCGAGTCGTTCAACGTCGCCGGTCTCTACATTGCCGTACAAGCTGTGCTCGCCCTGGCCGCGTCATGGACTAGCTCCAAGGTGCAGGACCGATCCCTCACCGGAACTGTCATCGACTCCGGAGCTGGTGTCACGCACGTTATCCCCGTTGCTGAAGGCTACGTCATCGGTTCCTCAATCAAGAGTGTCCCCATCGCCGGTCGCGACATCACCAACTTCGTACAATCGCTCCTCCGAGAACGCGGTGAACCCGACTCCTCCCTCCAGACTGCCGAGCGCATCAAGGAGGAATACTGCTACGTATGCCCTGATATTGTCAAGGAGTTCGCCCGCTTCGACCGCGAGTCAGACGACCGATTCAAGAAGCACACCGTCAACTATCCCAACGGCAAGACCACATCCGTCGATGTCGGCTACGAACGTTTCCTCGCGCCCGAGATCTTCTTCAACCCCGAGATCTACTCCTCCGACTTCCTCACCCCGCTACCTACCATTGTCGACACCGTCATCCAATCCTCTCCCATCGATGTACGCAGAGGGCTTTATAAGAACATTGTGCTTTCGGGTGGATCAACACTATACAAGGACTTTGGCCGACGCCTGCAGCGCGATATCAGGCACATGGTCGACGCAAGGATCAAGGCTTCGGAAGCGAAGAGCGGAGGAGCAAAGAGTGGTGGTCTGGACGTACAAGTCATCACGCACAAGAGGCAAAGACACGGCCCATGGTTCGGTGGTAGCTTGCTCGGTCAGACACCAGAGTTCAAGAGCTACTGCCACACCAAGGCGGAATACGACGAGATTGGTCCCAGCATTGTCCGAAGATTCGCGCTGCTGGGTGGTCCAGGAAGCACATAAGCGACGAGATATCGTAGGGAATGTGTGTAGATGTTGGCATGGCTTATTGAGCGAGCACGAGATGACAGCAAAACATTTGACAATGAGAAGACAATCAACACATCAGATCGATATGCCTTTGATCGCTCACTAACCATACTAAAAAGAAACCGTGATCAACCTCATGACTCCACGTCCTTAACACCCTTTCCCCCACCGCCCTTCCTCCTCAACACAGCAACCCCCTCCACATGCCCCGTCTGCGGGAAAAAGTCAAAGCCCCTCAAACTCTCAATCTCATAGCACCCCTCTCCCTTCCCAAAACCCCCATCCACACCCGCCATCCCGCCAACCAAGACCCCCACATCCCTCGCCTGCGTATGCACATTACAACTCACATACACCACTCTCGCAGGGCCATACTGCACCAGCTGTCTCAGAAAAGACTCATCGCAGCCCTTCCGCGGCGGATCCAGCATAACGACCGTCTCCTCCGCGGGCGACTTGATAGAAGCGAACAACCTCGCCGCATCCGCCGCGATAAACCGCGTAGAAGATTCCGGCAAGTTGTTCAACTTTGCGTTCGTACTTGCAGACTCGATGCTGCTGGATGAAATGTCGATTCCAAGCGATGATTTGAATAGCGCGGAGAGCGTGATGGTGAAGAGACCGGAACCAGAGTATGCGTCGATGAGATGGGTGATCTTGTGGTCTTGGCCGGGTGAAGGCAAAATGTTCTCGCGTATGTACTGTGTGAACACAGGGAGGATGGAGTTGTTGTTCTGGAAGAAGGAACCGGCTGGATTCACGAATTGGAATTCGTCGGAGATGTATTCTGTGGATTTGGCGTTGGGGTCTGTTATGCAGATTTTGCGGTGGATGTGCGTGCCTCGGTCTTCAATCACGGCGTCGGCGTCTGTTTCTTTGGTGGCGTCGTAATCGGTCTTGGGGATACGGGTGGTGGATTCGCGGAGGAGGAGCGTGGCTCCTTTGTGGTAGGTGGATATGGTGTCTGCGACGCGTTTGCGCTCGCGCTTGTTGCCGGCGCGCACGGCGTCTGTGCCGATGGGACAGTCTTCTATGTCGATTGTGCTGCGGGTTCCTTTTTTCATGAAGCCGATGGGTGGCACTTCCTTAAAGGTGCGCTTTATGCCGTTGCGGCCGTCGCTGCGGCGGGCGTCGGGTGGGCCGTCGAAGTGGGGGGTTAGCTTTGTGCGGTAGCCGTATTGCAATGGCGATCCGATCGTGTCGCCGATGGTGGGAATGAGCTCTGGTGGAAGGTTGGAGAAGTTCTTGTAGGCTTTCTCGACGATGGTCTTCTTGTGCGCGAGTTGGGTGTCGTAAGGTAGCATTTGGAATTGGCAGCCGGAACAGCTGGCGAAGTAGGGGCACTTTACTAGAGAGTCATCGCGCTGGGATGAGGGCGTGATCACGTTGACAAAGTCGGCCATGGAGTACTTTTCTTTCTCAAAGTGCTTGTGTGGTCGTGCTGTCACGATATCTCCTGGTGCGCTGAAGGGTACGACATAGACCTGGTCCGAATCTGAACCTTTTTGGAAACCGAGACCATCTCCAGTGGAAGAGATTTCTTTGATTTCAACCTCGATCTCCTTGAACTTTTCTGCCAATGTTGTCGAAATTTCCTTTCCTTCTCTTTCTATATTGAGGCTCTTGATTAGCGCAGTAACATCCTGCAATAAGACCTCCTCATTGGTTCCGTTGGTTTTTAGAATCTTGCTCTGCTCAGCATGTCCATTCTTCATGCGCTTGTTCTTGAATCTGTAATTGCCTCGTGGTCCTTCCTCGCTCCGTAGAGGCGTCTCGGCATATCTTTTCGCGCCGTTGCTCTCAACAGGCGCGACATTGTCCGCTGACGAAGCCATTCTGTATCTAGCAATCTGGGTATATCGGCTACTGACCAGCAGTGTCCGGAGCGGTCGAGTAAGAATCCGAGAGTACATGCAGTAAATCGTGAAATTGGAGAAAAGAGAAAGTTAGGTTAGTCACTGGGATAGAGAGACGGCGATTGGCTGGAGGGATTACTGCCATCCCGCTTAGTCACGCTGAACTTTCCGAACTTCACTTTGACCATCACGACGCCGCGCAGGCCACCCGCTATTACCGCCGCCCCGCGCTCAATTGGCCCTCACCCGGAGGTCCAAGGCCAACAATGAGCGTCTGCCGCCCCGCAAGATGTCTCTTCACCAAAGCAGCATCGACGACGCTTCCTAAACCGCCTCCGCAACGCACTTTCCACGCTTCCGCAGCAAGGCCAGCCCGCAAGAGGAGACCGCATTACCCGTCAATAAAGGCCGATGACCTCAAGCTCCTCAACCAGGCCGCCGAAGCAGAGTACCCCAAGTACGACACCTCGGAGACGACGCTGCTCGAGAAAAAGTACACACCCTCGCAAATCGCCGCCATCAAAGCCGCCGAGTCTACAATCGACGCCCGAGATGTCCTCACCCAGGGCCAGCGAAGAACAGATCCATGGCGTATGAACTACGAAGACGATCTGGCGCAAGTCGACCCAGTTACAGACCGACCAGAGCGCCTAACAGGCGACGACATCGAAGGCCCAAAAACCTTCCGCATCGCCAACGAAGTCGAGCGCGACGAGAACATAACCCGCATCGCCACTGAGAATCTCGCAAAGATGTACCCGGACGGCATACCAGAAGACGACGAGAATCTACAAAAAGCCATGGACGCAGCCGTCACCCAAGCCACCCTCGACCCCCGCGCAACCTACACATCCAAGAACCCCGCCGCCCTCCAAGCCCTAGGCGACGAGCGCCACTCGGTCATCGCACCCGACCTCCCCCGCGTCGAAAACCGCATGGTCCGTCAGACCCGGCGTCTCTCGACCGAAGAAGAAGAGGACCCACGGCAGAAGCGCCTACTGCAATACCTCGGCTGGGACAAGCAGAAGCTGCGCCAGATCCGCGTCAAGACACTAGTTACGCACTTCGTTACCAATCAGACTCGCATGGGCAAGATAAGAAGTATGTACTACCTGACCATTGCGGGTAACCAAGACGGCCTCCTCGGCGTCGGAGAAGGCAAATCCGTAGAACCGGACGAAGGCCGTAAGCAGAGCGTCATGAGCGCCATACGAAACATGCGCCCTGTCCCTCGTTACGAGAACAGAACCACATTTGGCGATCTGGAGAAGAAGGTCGGTGCGACGAAGGTCCAGATCTTTGCGAGACCGCCTGGTAAGTCATTATCCTCGTTATCCTAGACTTCTTCGTAAACTACCTTTTGCAAACATGCCGGCTGACTATGAGCAGGTTTCGGGCTCCGCGTCCAACATCTCATTTTCGAACTCGCACGCGCAGCGGGTCTTCAGGATTTGTCTGCCAAGACACCGCGGTCGAGGAATAAAATGAACGTTATCAAGGCGACGTGGGAGGCGCTTACGCAGCAGAGGTTACCGGATGAGATTGCGAGGGCGAGGGGGAAGAAGTTGGTGGATGTGAGGAAGGTTTACTATGGAGGAAGCATACATTAGTCTATATACGTTGGTGTATGGATGGCTATATGACTGTTGTTGGGCTCCTGCATGTGAAGAGGGTGGATAGAGTAGAGATGTATCATAGGCATGGCATGGTATGAGGTGGAAATGCTCATGTAGAGCTTGTGTAGATATTTTGTATCATATCATGTTATCTTGCATACCATCTTCTCTGTTTCGCTCGCTGTATCGAAGTATGTGTTTACATTGCTGTTCTAGTGGGGTATCATAATCGTCAAACGCTCTCATTCCTTCCCCTTCCCACCTCTTTATCCCTTCCTCCACCCCCTCCCATCCCTTCCCTCCCATCCCTTTCCCACACCTCCCTCTCTCCCCCTCCCCACTACTACCCACTACTACCCCCGACTACTCATCCTCCATCAACCCCCCCGTCTCCCCCTCGCCCTCCCCATCCCCGCCCTCAGTATCAATCTGCTGATTCAAAACAATACTATACACACTCGCCTTGAGCAGCGTAAACACCAAACTTGTTTTCCTTTCTAAACCGCGGAGGCCATCGAGGATCGCGGCGCTGGGGTTGTTGGAGAGCGTTAGGAGGAGGGATGATAACTTGGTGTGGTGTTAGTGAGGAAGTTTGGAGGTTTGGGAGGAGGGGGTGGATGGATAGAGGGGGGTGGATAGAGGGGAACGGAGGGAAGGTGCGTGTGGGTATGTAGACAAGATGGGTGGACTAACATTATTCAAATTCCCCAATAACCTCGCATATTCATCCAAGACCTCTTGTTCAAGCGGACTGAGACTTTCTTCTCCTTCCGACATTTGCGAGGCGCCGAAGTTTTGTTCTGCGCTGGATGCTGGTGCGGGTTCTGAGGCCATGGTCTGCTTTCCTCCTTTCCTCCTTTTTGTTTGTGTGCAATTGGTATAGAACTGGGGTGGTTGTGTGGATGGATAGGTAGATAGGTAGGTAGGTAGCTGGTGTTATATCTATATCCACGCGTGGATATGAGAGACGGCGAGCGAGCGTGGGAGATCAGGTAGCGGCGGGGTGAAGATGGTTTGCGCTGGATGCGCGATCGTGCGTGGATTGGATTGGATTCTGCTGTGTAGCTTGCTCGAGAATGGATCCCGGTATACGATCTCCGACTTCGACGTCGTGTGGGCTGGGCGTGCCGATGTTATTCAAGGTACTTGCGTAGCGTCCGTCCTTGTTTCGTCGCGTTGTTTGACAGGAAACAAGGGTTCTCGCGAATCGTTGTCGCGTCTTCCCCGCAAACTCCGCGTTGGCCCATGCGTTTCTTACCCTCGACCACTCCATCATAACCTACGGGTGCTCAACCAGAAGTTTCGAAACATAACAAGACATCATGTTAATTTCACTGATTACATCACACAGCACAGTTAGCATCTCAAAGATATCTTTCTCATTGCTTCTGCTACGCCCTCCCAGTACCATCCATCCCTCGACCCTCGACCCATCGACCACCACCATCCTCATCTTCCCTGTCCAAGCTGCCTCCGCTCTCAGACTAGCTAGACGACACTG